GATTTGAATGGTTAATTGTGCTGCTATATGCATACATTTTTCACTATTTCTCAGCATAAATCTTTTTGACCGTTTAATGCGAGTCTAAACGAGATCTTAGTAGCACCTTTGCCTTTTTTTAGAATCCAAGAGAAAATCATGACCAACGTTTTAACAGAACAATAATTTTGTAAATGAAATTTGTCTGGAAAATTTCCTGAGAAGACATACTGAAAAGCACAATGGAAATTTCCCCTACAAGGCAGGTTCGCACAATCTTAAGCACAGCCAAACAAGGGATTTTCAAAAACGTGCTTGAAATCGCTTTTTGTCCTTTTTCTTCAATTTGTACTTGGATTACCGAGCCTGTTATAGTTTAGTTTGTCCTTCAGAACGCATTAGAAATGTAGTGCCAAATGACGGGAGTATTAGGATAAGTGGAAGAATTAAAAGAGCTTGAAGGTGCGCACACAAAATGTTCACATATCATTGGGGGTACTTGTGAAATTACTACATAATGGCTGAGCATAAATAATTCAAAAGCAGCGCTATCTTTAAAGAACCAGCAATCTCAAGTTGACATGAAGATAGCATTCTAATTCGCAATTAGAATAATTTACCAATCGGCGACTTGTTTAAACTTTTTGGTTGAAATTAGTTGAAGTTAGTTGAAATTTCCAGGGAATTCTTGTTTACTTCTTTAATAATCAATTAGAGACAGCTGGCGTTAGGACAATAAATAATAAATTTGCTGGCTTTGATGTGTATACAGCAAGAAGGTATTTTGCAAACAGATGTTATAAAAGGGAACATAACTAAACAAGGTGGAGTAAAACATATGCTATCCAGTGCTGTATTGAAAACGATTACAATCTAATAGCTGGTGAATGTGTCTTCCTTGTGGCATGCATTGATTTACCTTAACTGTAACTAGACAGTACTAAGAATTCGCAGTAAACAAGGGACAGCCAGTATGCAGCCAAATGCTGAGGTCACTCGAAGAATTGAACAAACACAGCGTGACAGCAGCTCCAGACTTTCGCCATTGACTCAACCAGCATTTAATCACTGATAACAGTACAACTCCATCTTCCACAATAGGGGACAAGAATCAGAGACATACAGCACAGTGGAGTCTCTTTGTAAGACAATGTACGAAACGCATATCCATGCACTAACGGTACTATGCCTGATTGGCACTGTCTTGAATGCTCTTGAAATAATTCTGATATGCAAAGGAGGCAAACTCAAAATGCCCTTTCAAATGACGCTCTTGAGCTTAGCTATAGCTGATTTGTTAGCATGCCTGTCCGCTCCAATCTGCAACACAATTTATCTGTTAGTTAAAGAAGAAAACAGAAAAGAACTTTCTGTGGCATATGAAGCCACAGTCGTCTTTAGTACAATATCAAGCCAAATGCACGTAATATTTATAACAATCCAGCGACTAATTGCTGTAGTGCTTCCTTTCAGCTGTAAACGAATTTTGACGTCATTTCGCTGCAGTCTGGTACTGGCATTGATTTGGGCTATATCATTAGCTATAATTGGTGCATTTCAACATTTTATTCTCGGTATTATTTTCATGACAATTGCTACTGCAATTTTAATTGCCTTATCATATGCCTTGATAATTTATCGCATTCGAAATCGTCCCGTCGTGGCTGCTTCCGATACTGACAGATCAAATGGGTCAACATCTGTAGTCATATATTCCGGAATTCTCTTCGTCCTTTTTGTTACTTGCTATTTTCCATATGTTTTCAATTACATTATTTACAGCATGATCAAGAAAACCCATGAAACTCCTGTGGCATTATTTTATTTGTTCTGGCTCAATTCGGTAACAAATCCGTTAGTATATTTTTTATTCAAAGTGTATAAAGGTAGAGATCTCAAGTGCTTTAGTAGAAAACAGACAGTAGTAACGGAGCAAGAGCCTTGTCCACCGTAAAATTAAATGCAAATCTATTCATTTCTGTATATTCCAGATATGTATAGAAATATTTATGCTCATTTTGTAAGGTTATCTATTTCTTGATGTTATGAAAGAAGAGACTATGTATATGCTTGTACAATAAATATATTCTGATTCGCTTGTTCACTTTTCTGCTGTTTTTTTGTACCTTATTCTATAAAGGCTTTGAAGCAGTAAACAAGACAGGAAGAATAACTCATAAAACTTTCTCCAAGAATAACTCATGACATTGAGAAACTCTTCTCCATTCGGACCATGACCAACATCATGACTCTGCAGCTTAAGAAGAAAAAAATCAAAAAATAAATGCCAACGATATCTGAAGGCTCAAAAGGTATATTAATTTTGAAAGTTTTATCAAATTCATTCTAAGAACGCAATACTTGCTGGTAATAATCCCATATCGTACAAATATGACATTACAAAACCATAAACTGTAGCTATGTTACATGTCTATATTATTCCGCCTTCAAGAAGTGGATCATCACAAGCCAGGCTATTTCAGGCATGGGAATCATGAGATGTGGTCACACGAGAGGAAAGACCAGGCCATTGCTTCAATTTCACAGCTTTTACAGGTAGTAACAAATACAAAAAGTGTTCAAATCTTAATTTGTGTATTAAACCAGCCACTTTTTTGCATTCGGAAAACTTTTGATCATGTAGAATCTCAGAAGTAACTACTCATTTTTTATACTAGTCCTATCAGAAGATTCCTGAATATTCCTGAAATAGTTTCTCAGCATGCCATTTTAAATTACATTTCAAGTGATATCTTAAAGTCAGGCATTGGCTAATTTTCTGATATGCCTGTCGATTTGCAATCTGCATGCCTTAATGCTGTCATTCAGTTTCAATCATTCTGAAGTTTTGATGTCATCGATCATCTTCAGCACCAAAACAACAAGCCTAATCATAACATTGCAATTCAGAGACTTATTGCTATAGTGTTTCCACTCAGTTGCAATCTTGTTCTGAAGCTATGTAGATGCAGTCAGTTTCGTCGGCAAGGGGTGGATTGGGGTGGACATGTCCTCCCCAGTTTTCCCTGAAATCGATTTTATATTTTCTTGAAATCCATTTAAAAGCCCTGGGGGCAGTTAGGCTGATCAGATCGATTTCGATTTTCACGCTGGCAAAAAAGCCACCGTTACGAAAAATGTTGCTTGAGAAAGTTGCTTATTTAAACATTTCAAAATGAACAAACAAATCTAAAAAAAGGATTTTCCAAGTGTCTGAAGGGCGTAGCCGAGAATTTTTTTTGTCAACCTCAGTTTTTTCGAGGTTGCGACGCCACTGGATTCATTTTGCTTTGGGGCTGATTGTGCCACATCTGTGATCATGTTATACCTTTGCTTTGATAAAAATAATTCAACGCTTACAAGGTCAGTTTAAGTCGCACTTTCTTACACTTTTATTTTGTACCGCCTACGAAATAGTTCTATGAAACCTGAAACCAGCACCAGGGCATCTTAAGATGTTTTTCTTATAATCAGAAGTTTTCTTTGGCTTTTTTGTTTGCCATTTTCCTCTTTCGAATAAACTGGAAAGTGGGAGTGGTATCTTAGTTTTTACTTGTTCGAGTCGTATACAAATCCATTGGTATTTTCTTGTACGAGGAGTTTAAGCATGCTGATTTTAAGTGATAGCGCATACAAACCCATAACACAATAGAAAGAATGATACCTGATATCGAAAAATCAAAAAAAGTGCGATTTTCATATCAATTCTGCCTGACTGTGCTATTACTTAAAGTAGTTTTAGTGAGAGATTTGAAGAGAGTAAGAGAATCAGTCAATTTAAAATCCAGTGATGGCACTGCCTTCCATTCTCTTGAATTCCAAGAAAGTTATACCCATGTGATGTTCATTTCCCTGCATGTCTTTAATTTCCAATGGCAACGTAATTAAATGTAATCATCAATTTATGAGAATATTTCAAAAATTTGAGAAAGTATCCAGAGTGCACTTTTAGCAAATATTGCCACGTGATTGTTCAGTTATGGCCTTTCAAATCCTAATGTCAATTTTGAAAAGTGTTTCTTTTCCAAATAACGATTAGTGGTCATGGTTGTTCGACTAGTAGTTTGTTTAGGTGTTTAAACAGTTGGAAAGAAGTTACCAAAAGGTACCAGAAAAGCTGAACAAAACTCTTGTATCAACTAAAAGATCGATTTTCGTAAGAGATCAAGTAATACCTATTGATAGAAAGTCTACAAAAGGCTTTGCGTTTTCTCGTTTGAAACACCGCCATAATGATATCTTTTACAATAAAAAGAGGAGAAGCGATGAAATGGAAATCAATTGCTGGCTCTGCAAAAAGAAAGGATTGATAATATAAATGGGAGCTATTAAAGATTGACTCTAAAGAAACCAATCATCAAAGACAACCCTACATTGCTTCAACAATATTGGCATGAAAGGATTCTAAAAGGATAAAATTTTGTTGCAATTATTGCTAAGTACATTTGCAAAGCTGATGTCATTTTTTGGCTCTTTGTGACAGGATTTGGATTAGGTTCTTACAAGCATGAAAAAACAGCATCAGTATATTTTTATGACAATGTGCTTGGTAGGTACTGTATTGAACGTCATTGAAATAGCTCTTATCTGGCAGCACAGAATACCATTTCAGATGACGGTATTGAGTCTAGCAGTGGCAGATTTGCTGACTTGCCTACCAGTTTCAATCACCAATGCATTGTTGGTGTTATTTAATTTTGATTATTCTGATATTCCAACCGATGTTTATTTAAAATCGATTCTCTTCGCCATCTTTTCAAGTCAGCTGCATGTCATGTTTATTGCAATACAAAGACTGATTGCTGTGATGTTTCCACTCAGTTGTAAATTCATTGTGACGGCATTTCGATGCAGATTTCTACTAGGGTTGCTTTGGATCATATCTTTGTCCATCGCTGCTCTACTTGAAAAACATTTGTACGCAATATATATTTCAACACTTGCATGTGCAGTTATTATCGGCTTTACGTACGCTTTCATTGTACACCGTGTGCGAAATCGTCCCGTTGTTGGTGCGTCCAATGCCGCTTCATCTGCATCCTCAGAAATTACTTCCTACTCTGTAGTTCTTTTTATACTTTTTGTTGTGTGTCACTTTCCATTGCTAAGCGTTCTCGTTATCTACAATAGGAAGATAAGCAGGACTAGCCCCTGGGTCGCAACATATTACCTTTTCCTCCTGAACTCCATAACAAACCCATTGGTATATTTCTTGTTCAAGTTTTTTAAACATAATGTTTTCATTTGCTGCAAAAGAAAGGAGGCGACAGATCTATAGAGATTCCTCTTAGCCGATAAATGAGCTATCTATCCTTGGCACTTACGAAACTTCGGTAGAATGGTAGATTTGGGACCAAAAGAGATGAAGCACAAAGCTTAGCAAGATTATTGTCATGACAGATGACCAAAAATCAAAATATTACCAACTAATGTCAATTATTTATTGATTTAATTGGCAATCACGCAATGTATAGCTAGTCCGTTTCATGAACTACCGACAATCTCATCATTGTGAAAGATTAAGAAAGTAATTTCGGTTGATCATGGTTATGAGAGCTGATCAGATACAAGCTATTTATAAAAACATTCAGGAGCCTACGATTTGTTTTTGTTAGACAATTCAAAGAAGTCACAGACCATGTGTTCAGGACCAAGCAAGCAGTTCTGACTGTTGCTACCAAGCGAACTGTTTTTAATCAAAGCCCATTCAAACTGACATTCAAACTCTCTGGGCACAGAAAATGAGGAATTACCATCTTGCCTCTACTTCAAGAAAGCCTGCTGCAAGCAAAAAGCAGTGTATTATGCAGCAAGCAAACATGCCTTACGCTCAAGGAGTTACTTGGTTTTAGGAGAATAATTTGCAATCGACTACAGACGTTTTTACAGAAAACTACCATGTTGAAAAATTTATACAAAGTTTAGCAAATGTTCTACATCGCTATTTAGACGATTGTTATTTCACACGATTACAAAAGCTCCGCCTATTCCAACATATGAACGAAAAATTAAACTTGAAACTGAATGACCATGATTCAGGGGGGCACTTCATACTTTTTGTTGAGAAATGGCTGCATATTTGCCCTGCAAAAGGAATTTTTGCTTTGCCAAAAGTTGAAAAGCCAAAAGATAAATGTAAAATATATAGAGGGTTTGAAGCTTTATTTTTGTTAAAGAATGAGACATTCTATTGTTTTTTCATTCGAAGAAGTCACATTATTGCTTTCGACTTCTTTCTTCCATTGTTTTCTGCCATTATCAGGTTGTGGAGGTTAGCCTACGGAAAAACTTTTATGATACCTTGATCATTATATTAGGTCTATCGTAAAAAAAAGTGCTCCACATGTAAAAGACACAAAAAAATCTACATTCTAGCCCTACATAATGGCAGAAAACAAACTAAGGGTCTCAAACCTACATTCTAGCCTTACAATAAGGCACAATAATCTTGGAGATTGGTTATCCCACACTAAATTCCATTTCATAAACTTTATTTCAACCCGTCTTAATGCCACACCCTTACAACACATTTGATAGTTTATCCATATTTGCTCCACGCGCGATATATCTGCTCCACGCGCGATATATCTGCTCCACGCGCGATATATCTGCTCCACGCGCGATATATCTGCTCCACGCGCGATATATCTGCTCCACGCGCGATATATCTGCTCCAAGCGCGAGATATCTGCTCCACGCGCGATATATCTGCTCCACCCGCGATACAACTGCTCCACGCGCGATACTTCGACAGAAATGTATGATTTTTTGTGTAAGGAATTGTATATACCTCTAAAGCTACACGTTGTCAATAAAATCGTACAAACATACAATTATTCAGTTGGAATTCACTTGTGTTATATACAGCGCTACAATGCATTGATACATCTTTGCTGGCATTATCCCTGGATGCAGTGGTGAAAGGGCACTCAGGTGTAAAGGAGTATACCGAATATCAGCCCTGAAATGCTTTGGCTGAACGTTTTCCTTGAAGCAAAAGTTGATAGGAGAATTGTGTTGAGAATCGAAAGAGAAACAAGAGCACAGCTAAGTGTAATCACGAATGACAAGCGAAAAATTAGATACTTATAGCGGCGGAAGTAAGATAGCGGCGGAAGTAAGATAGCAGCGGAAGTAAGAATAGTGGCGGAAGCAAGTAGTTCATTTGTGGAAAGGATGAGAAAACTTTTATTTATCTTATGAACCACTTTTCTAGCTACTACATAAATGCAAAAATATGTTCAAACAGACTGACACAAGCCCATGTTGTTAATTCATCATAATAATGTACAAAATGAGATTTAAAAAGTCAGATATAAAGATATAAAAATTCTGCTTCAAAAGCATCTTTTTAACCCTTCTGAAACTTTTAGCAAATCTTTCCTCTAATACTTATTTTTTAGTATCGTACTTATGAAGAATAATAGTTTAGCTAAAACTCCAGCCTTGCGAAAACTGTGAACACTTTTAAGTTCACGCACTACCTCAAGGATGAGTACTCACTCCCCTTGATGTTTATCGATTATGTATTTTGACTTTTCTACAGATATGTTGCCTCCACAACTAACAATAACAACATTTTTCCCTGCATATTGATTCTTGGTTTTCAAAAAAGATGCAATGGCAACACCAGCTGCTCCTTCGACAACCTTGAACAAAGGGTAAGAGAAATCAAATCATTTATGTTACTTAAATGTCCAGATACTGATACAGAGCCATATTAGCTATTTAATGCAACGATGCATAAGAAAGAAACAATCTATACAACGTATCCTATTAAAATAACTCCATAGTGCATAGCAACAGGTATCTAATCAGTCGTGTCGTGAAGGGAGGCTGAGCTCAGGGAGCTTGTTAAATTTCAGAGAGATTTTTGGGGGGCTCAGCCCTCGTTAACAAGTGAGTTCATATTTGGTTGGACAAATTCTGTTTTCGCAACCATCTATTATAATGTAGACTTCTCATGAATGAGCAATTTTTCTATCAGTCTTTTTGTGTCATTGAACAGTTTGTCTGATTCCTACACACAACAGAGAGTCTTTATTTAGCACAATTGCAAGTATGTTGGGCGTTGTTAGGGAGTGTTCATGGCTTCTAGAATTTGTCTACAGCATGGTCTCCCTTCTCAGCAAACTGCCAGAAATATTACAGGCAAAGCATTACCAAAAAACTGCATTGGTAGCAAAGCATAAGTTTAGCCAAGATGCACGTTTTTTTAACCGTAAACGAGAGACTGGAGTACAGTGTGGAAAAAAACGAAACAATATTTTTTGGTGAAACAAAGAAACCAAACAAAGTTTGAATGCTAAAGCCTGCTACTGCTATTTTTTCACAAGGTTTAAACTAGATGCACACCTCAGATCTTAGCATATGCATGTTCGTTTGGCGAAGCATTCTATTATGATCATGGTCCTTGCTATAAGGGTGTTGTTATGAGGTAATGGGTGCCACACTTTTGTTTAACAACTAGTGGTTTTCAGTTGGCTAGTAAGAGATGGTTCACACACTTTGCTGGCCAGTACAGCCTGGAACACCCCCCCCCACCCTCCACCCCCCAAAGCTCAATTGCTGGTAACAGCCCTGATTTTGATTAGAAATGAGAAAATATTGTACCTTACTGTGCTCTTGCAGCATTTTGTAAACGGCATATGAGATTTCATCTTCAGAGACTAAAACCCATTCGTCTACTAGATCCTGGCACATTTCAAATGTTATCTAATGGCAGGAAAGAAACTAAAAGAATGAGACAGCATTATAATTCATTGCTTACATAAGCGTTATTACAAAATTAAGGAAAGAGTTGTTGACATCTTTGCGCCATAATCATTCATCCACATAAAAAAACAATTTCAAAACTTCACAGAAAGCAACACACTTCTAGAAATCAAAAATAAATTTAGAAAATGCTAAAGTTAGATTCCTATTCATTTTTAAAAATATTTTCAAAGCAAATCATTAGCAATCAATAACGAATAAACAAAGCAATTAAGCTCTAGCAATCGTAACTATCTTAATAAAAAAATAAAGGTTTTAATCATTCATCTAAAGATAGTTATGGAATACTGCTGGCTGGAAATTCGGAAAATTTAGGATATTGGCTTGAAAGAATGCAAACTTGTTCCATTCTTACCACGCCTGGTTCTAAACCACCAGCTGTTCCATCAGATAGAGTTTCCAAAGATTCAATGTCTAGTATTGATCCATGCTTGACTGATTCATACATTACTTTGGAGTTTTCTGGTTGGCATCCAATAATCTAGAAAACAGCTACTTATTCACTTTACAGAAGAAATATTTAATAGACTATGGAGTTTGCTTACAGTATGACATAAGAATTTACCAAAGCCTGATTTAACGGGAAAGGTTTTCTGAACAGGATTTGCGAACTACAATGCCTGCCAAAAATGGCTTGAAAAACCGGGGCAATTTGCGTTCTGTTTTTCTATATTTCATTTCATCTTCACAAAATTACTGCTTCCAATCCTTCCCTTTAGAGCAGTTTGAATAGTCTAGAGAACTATCTTACGTGTCACAAGAAGAAAGGACTCTAGTGAGCTTGTACAATATTCTATCTTTTATAGTGAGCCTGCATTGTTCTTAGAAAGAGAAGGAGACGGGTGAATTCGCATTTGAAATTTGATGTCAATGTTTGCAGACCTTTGCCTGAATATATGCAGCTAATGTTTACAAAATTGTCGGAAAACAGTTCACGGTCTCTCCGTAATACAGACACGGATCTTAGAATTCATCGCTTTGCAATCTCTTACGGGCAACGTAGTTTCTCATATCGAGGTGTGAATGTGTGGAATAAACTAAACACTGAAATAACAAATGCCCCTTCACTGGCTACTTTCAAAAGTTTGTTGAAACAATCTTTGAAAAATCAAAGGGTGTGAAAGTACCTGTACAGCATCAAACATTTTTTTTATTTATTTTTATTTCTACCTTACCAGAATATCTTGTATATTAATTTTGGTTTAACTTTGATATCTAATTGTATGTTAATTAGCTTAGGTTTTAAGACAGGGCACATTGTAAATCAGTTATTATCTTTTCATTACTGAATGTATTACGCTGTATAAATAATTGAAAATCAAAATCAATCGTAGTCTATCGTTTTATTCACTTAAAACCGACTACAAAGCATTTGAAACAGATTGTCTAAGATTGTTTACTGGTCATTGGAAAATCTACTTTATGCAGTTAAATTTCTAAAACAAAATGTGTGTAAACGTCACAAAAACATTTTTCAAATTATCATTTTCAAACCAAAATAAATTCAAGCATAAGGAGACCATAATTTGTTTTTTTATTGCAACACAATAATGATTGTAAACAATCTTTCGGTGGTACAAAATTTGGTAAACTAAAGCTTTTCGTCTGACACTCTTCAGAGTTTAAAACGTCAGAACATAGATCGAAAACTCTACGCTAGGAAATATATATACCCAGTTGTGAATCGAAATAGTCCAATCAGAAACACGAGCACATGACTGTATATACACGAGCACATACAGGCAAGCGGCACTGATTGGTCAACCTATACAGTCATTTGCTCGTGTTTCTGATTGGCCTATTTCGATCCACAACTGGGTATATATATTTCCTAGCGTAGAGTTTTCGATCTATGTTCTGACGTTTTAAACTCTGAAGAGTGTCAGACGAAAAGCTTTAGTTTACTAAATGTTTGCTTTTTTCAAAGGCATTTACAAATAATGATTGTATTGTCATAGCATATTTTAAAAAACGATTAAAACATTAATCACTCTAAACCGAAGAGTTCGATAAAGATAAAGCCACCTTTATATCAGGGTTTTTGTTTTTCATATATGTTGCTATTCCAGAGATTAAGCCGCCACCTCCAACAGAGACAAACACTGCATCAACTGATGGAAGGTCTTCCAAAATTTCAAGCCTAGTTAGAAAACAATAATATAAAATTAAAACACCTTAAGCCTGGATCTATGAAGAAACTGAATTTTTTCGTAAAACAGAGTTATGTTCCTATGCTGCCAAGATAGGCAGATGTACAAAGGCTACTGGAATCTAAGTTTTCCTAGTGCAAAACATTTCCAAAGAAACTGCTAAGAGTTTATTCCAAGTAGCCAGTCTCTTCCCTCCCCATCTTATCTGCGATACTTCTGCCTCTATTTCTGTTTTTGTTTTTGTTTCTTTTTCTGTTTCTGCTTCAATCGTTTCCGGTTTCCTTTCTAAAGATAGGTCAAAACTTTCCAAATGAAAAATACTGCTATTTGACAAATAACTGTCCATTCTCCATTTTTTAAGGGGAACATGTTAGAAAACAGAATGAAAAGTTGCAATATCAATTCCTTTAACAAAGAATCACCGCGAAAGTTGTACAACCGCAGAAGATTCAATCTCTTACCCAACAGTCCCCTGGCCAGCGACAACATCCAAGTCGTCGTAAGGAGAAACATAAATTGCTCCTATATCCTGTAACAAATTAAGAAATGACCAGTCAAACAATTATTTAGAATATGAAAATTCAGTGTTTTTTTACTGGATAATAATGCTATCACAATGCTTTCTTGTAGGAAATGAGCTCTTGATCAGTTAAGCATAGCCATGAGCCATCGTATGTCTCTTGCTCGAATTTGAGGATTTCAGGATCCTAGATTTACTGATATGTGACCCTAAAATATTCTTGATATATGTTTTGGAAAGCTGCATTTTCAGAAAATGGGTAGCCAATCACATTCAAGTGTGTGGTCCTTAAAATATGCCATACCCTAGAACACCATCCATTGGTTGTTTGACATTTTCCCCTCTATACACTTTTGATAGTCCATTTGCTCAATGCCTTATAATTTAAGAGAAATGCACAAATAACTTTAATCAAATAAGGCATGAATTGCGAAGAAAATCAACCTGTATTTCTGAGCATTAAAAATGATGTATTCATTCATTATGTTATGATGAATTTTCATGTTATGAAGGCTGCTAGCAGATTTAAATCTATTTTTCGAGCTGTGGAAGACATGGCAAAATACAACTAACTTGTTGCAATATACTTCTGATTTTATCACCTTAGACTGTCCTTCGACATGAATTTCAGATTTGTTCAAATCTTTCTTCTCAATTCCTTAAGAACCCTCAAGCTTTACTTAAATTGTAAGATACATCGGCGGGAGATGCTTATTGTTTGCAATGCCTTGCATCTTTTGCCTGATGAAGGATGAACACATTTTGCAACGTACCTTGGCATACTTTTTTGCAAATATTTCAGCCTCAATGCCATCAGTTCCATGAAACAGTATACTTACAGCTGTCCTTTTAATACCTTTTATCTTTGAAGAGCTTACATTTTCATTAACAACAATGGTGCAATCTACATTTGTTTCACTGACAATTTTAGCCTACAAAGCAAACATATTAACCAATCAATGGTAAGGAAAGTTCAATCATCTTTTCACTTTAAACCAATACATGTAAGCTAAGGAATGTCGTATGATATTTTTTGCTCATGAACATAAAGATAACAGCATTAAAGATGCTACATTTTGCTATTTTTGCTAAAGGCAACCAGGAGCACAAGCAAAGGCTGAGCTAAAAATTTCAAGACAATCAAAGTATTTATATAGTTCGTGCACTTTTTCGACATTGAGACTGAGACGGATTCAGATCAAAGAATAAAATGACATTCAATATTTCGGGCCCGTTTTTCTAAATCAACCTGCTAGTTTAGAGTCTTTTTAAAGTCTTATGATAAACATTGAATATAATTTATAATAGTTATATAATAACTAGTTAATATAATTTTTAAGAGCATCGAATTATTTCAAAACAAGATAAATTGAATTTTTTTTCATCTCATATAAAAGTTCACAATGACGAATTACTAACTAAGGAAATTACTTTACAACACTGCGAATACAATAATACTAGGAGGAGCAAAATGTAATTCTTTACAATATATAATTTAATTCTTACACAAGCAAGTCCGTGATTTCCAGTAGAAGCTGTTACAATTTCTGGTTTCACATCACTAATTTGGCACAATTTTAATATTTTGTTTACTGCACCCCTGAGCTTGAAGGAATTGGTAAATTGTTCGTCTTCTAAAAAAATACGATTATATTGTTAAAAAAATGTCCACAGTTTTTCAAAAAAGTTAAAAAAGAAGCCATACAATAAACAGAACATCATTTTCTGATATCATCAGGACGTCAAATAAACTGAAGCTGCATCACAACTCCAGTATCGGCGTAGACACAAAATTGTGTTTGTTTGGAGACTTTCTATAAAAATCATATCCACAAGTACAGATTTCAATTATACTTTCTTACAACTGTGTCCCTCTGGGACTTATTGTATGCGTGCGTTGCAAGGCATTGCATAGTATAATTGCTGCCGAACCCGTGTTTATGCTGGGTATGTGTTTTTGGGTACAGATTAGCTGGGTACAGATTAGGCCGTTACAGGACGAAACAGTCGGTAAGTTCCATCTTTCTGTTTGTTTTTTAGTTTAGATAATTGTTACTGTAGCTTGTTTATTTTTCTAAGGACCTGTTCGAATTCATAACTACTACTCATGCTCAGTAGCGGCGCCACGGGGGGGACTGGGAGGGACACGTCCCCCCCAGTTCTCAGCAGAATCGATTTTGTATTTCGTGTAAATTCGATGAGAAAATGTTGGGGGAGGGGTAATATTTTGACACCGTACTTTTTGTGATGTAATCCTATGATTTTCAAACTGCCAATTTTCAAACAAAAGTTTGTCATAGGCGTTCCCTTCAGATATAATTGGCGTTCCCTGTTGGTAAAAGGGCATTTTCTGGTGGTTAAAAGGGCGTAGTTTAAATTTGTTTGGTTTGTCCCTCCCCCCCCCCCAGAGCTTAGTGGCTGGCGCCGCCATTGCTCATGCTGTCTTCAGTAGCATAACTACTCATGCTGTCTTCACTGCCCTTTTTAATCGAGCTCTTGATATTATCATTTGTCTTAACTTTTGCGATACAAATTATACAGTACTAAAATTCTTTATTTAGCAAACCATATCTAGTGTTGCGGCCCTTGTGTATTTATACTTTGGTCCTGGGATTTGGCCATTTGTGTGCGTTTTGAGTGAAATATGATGGCTTGGATGAGGGAAGTTTATCTTATTCGCTGTGTCCAAAGGTTTGTTTCAACCAAATCGTGTTTTACCAAGTTTTACCAAATTTCAACGTTCTTGACTGCTTCAGAATAACTGTGCTGAAGTTTCTTATTGTTTTCCGTGACTAGATTCCAAGCTCCTTCCGGTATGTATACAAGCAAGAAATCAGTGGAGACACATGAACAATGAACAGGTATGAACAAGTTGGTGCATTACTTTTCCCCTACCGATAGTACTGTATTGCATTTTTATTCCAAGTTACATGTAATGAGGGTATTTAACGCTAGTTTCTTTGCATTTTAGTGACCCAGCCAGGTATGAGGTCTTTTTCTATCTCTGTTCATTTATCTCTAATATCAATTTATATGGCCAAAAACTCGAGATTTAAAAAAGTTATTAAAGGAAAACTGAAAAGCGGTTTTGGGAAAATTGAGATTTTGCCAACATTCAGGGGGCTGAAAATGTTCTTGAAACAGGTTTAACTTCTTGCAAACTGTAAAAAACAGTGTAGCAAACTTTGTTCTATCGATTAAACTTCAAATGGTATTTTTACCATTTTTCTGCCAAAAGTTATTACAGGAAAACCGGAGGGCTGTTTTCACAAATTCCACATTTTTGTCTAAGTTTCGGAGACTTTCATATTAACCAGAATTTTTATTTAATTATGAAAATATGAAAAAACAGTAAAACTATGGTATTTGTGATGTTTAAAAATATAATCAGTCCTACAGATGTAGTTAGTCAAAAGTTATTAAAGGAAAACTGGAGGGTAGTTTGCGTGCGAATCGTCAGAGCGAATCGTCAGAATCTTCAGGCCTATATAAATCAATGTTGCAAGGAGAGGGGATCAAGTTAATTGAGTACCTCCAATTTATTTCTTTGTTCATTTTAAACCCATTGAAAATGAGGAAGGTTGACAACATTTCTGGACTCTGCATTGTACAGATTGGTACTTACCACGTTTTATGTACACGGAGCAATCACCTGAAGATAGCCATGGACAATGGTCCAAAAGGGTCTTCCTTACATAAGTTCTAATTCGCTCGTGTGCTTGTTTTGTCGCTGCAGCAATGAGCCTATATTCTCCCCTCATTGTTTTACTCGAAAAGCCTGATGACTTCTTTGAACGTTACAGCGTCTGAAACGTGAAGGTGGTCGGCGATTGGCTAAAGTTTATGGCTTGGTATTGGTATACTCACACAGAGTGGATGCCTCTTTGCAAAAGCAACAGATCGAAAATTTAATTGCCACTCATTGGCAGAGAAAGTTCACTCAACTTGCCCCATCACTTAAAGGAACGACGAATGCGGGAAGTATGCGATTTATGTGGCTTGTGCAACAACGTTGACTGCGGCTGCGATATCGAGTCCTGCCCATTCAGTGGTCCTGCCCACTGATCTCAGTGGTCCTGCCACGTAGGAGCAAGGCCGTCACTACTATTGTGCTTAGGAGGTCATTACCCCTTGAATAATTTTTAAAAGTCAGTTGTTTCCAACTAACGATTGCTTTTGTTCCTGTTGTTGGTTCCCCTCTTATTACCCTACTCTTCCTTATAGATCACTGTCATTATTGTTTTTATCTACTTCGCACTGTAAGGGTGTTTTTACTTGCATCAATGCCCGGTATTAAATTTCTTTTATTCTTGGCACCAACCACAAAAGCTATAAAACCGTTGATTTTGCCTTATCATACCTTGTATACGTTGAGAAAACAAAAAGACCACTCAATCTTTCCCTGCTATTCTCTAACAGCTTCCAAAAACCTTGGAATAGCTGCCATGATTTTGTTGCAGAATCTCTGGAAACCGCTTCTTCTACCATTTTCCTTCAGATCTTTCTTTTTGGCAGCAAAAAGCAACCACAAATCGCCAGATTTAAATCCAAAAGCTGTATCATTTTGCTATGTACAAAGAATACCGGTACTCTTAAGAGGCTGTTGTAGAGACAGTTTATCTTTTTTACTTGATTATTATCTTTTTTACAAGACTTTGGATAGGAAACCGTTATGGTTGAAGTATATGATCGTTTTAAGTTTCTGACTATTTTCTGACAGTATGACATGGCTAGAAGAGATGCAGGGCCTGAGCACCGAACCATGAAATTGAGTTGTTTGTTGTGCAAAGAGACGTGGTATACTTTTCCTTTGACGGGTTAAGCCAATACAATTGAAATAAAAACCACTTGCACAGTCCATCAATGGCCTTATGGCTTGATAAAAACAGAAGAAGACTGTCAGTATCTTTATTGAGAGCTGTAAGTTATGACTAAAGATCAAACATATCCTATGGCGCTTTTTTAAAGTCATAATGTTTCTAGCAAAGGGGAATTTCCCAGTTTCAGCCGTAGTCAGCTTTGACACCCAGTTTACACTTGGGTGTTTATGTCCGTATCAATTCTTATCTTGCTGTAAATTTTATCTGTTCAGCCTCTTCGTGTACACAATGACAATATCTAATCTATAATCTCTTATACTGCAATATCTAAAGATGGGAAAAATGTTTCAAGCCAGTGGCAAGGCAATCAAACTTTTCTATCTGAAACTGTCCGGTAAAAAACGTTTTAATGACAACTGCAATATTATCTATCATCAATCCCAATCAGCAATAAATCAAAGAGGATGCCGAATAAATATTATGAAACGGTTTTCTAGCCTGCAAGTATAAACGGTAATTAAATTGCTGAATTTGGTTGATTTGTGTACATGTAAAATGGTCTTATGTCATATCTCTAACAGTTTGAATCTCGGCAGCAATTACAATTTGTAATATAAGCGCTTAAATATATCGTTAAAAACACGGTTTTTATTAAATTCAATGGTCAACAAAAAACCACCAATATTGAGTAATTATTTGTACAGCAATCAAAACTACTGCATAAAATTATTGCATATGGCAAGAAGGTGCTTGAGATAGATGACAGTGAATTGTAGAAGCAGTGGCGAAGCTGGCCTTAAGTCAATGGTCATGCTTTGTATGGGAGAGAAAGGGGATGGGGGTCTGGGGGCATAGCCCCCAGGAAAATTACACACAGCCACACCCTATAGATGCTCGGAAAAGGGGGTAACGCCCTTTTTAGTATATTGAATCAAATAGCTCTTGTTTAGATCGCAATCAATGATGTCAAGGACTTCAACATCTAAATGTTCTTTCCACCCCATTCTCCAATGTTGTGTTTTGGAAATATCTTTGGGACAATGTTTTTGAAAAATTGTGCATTTGAAAACCCCCAACAAACACTACTAATCATACTGGAAAACATTGCAGATGAGAGAATATTATATCTACAAATATTTTTCAAAATCTAAACTTTTGATAAATCAGCTTATTCAAATCAGCAAGGGCTAAGAAATATCCATTCTCTTACTATTAATTATTGAGACTTTTGATGATGTTTCTGAATTAAGATGAATTAGGCAAGATAAGCCCTCAGTGATAGGTAGGCCCTCCCTTGTTTATGATACAGGGAATTGTGGGATGCTTGTTTCTTGGTCTAGAATTTTATACTTAGCTTCAATTTTATAAGCTTAATTTTTACATATCTAAAACAAATGTATCAAGGATAGTACTGTTTAGCATATACAAAAAGTTTTGACCCCTGTATTTAAGGTGTAACATGCCATAAACATCAACAAGTTAAGTCCAAGCCCAACATCAAGGGCTTTCCTATAACTTTGGTCTTCCATGTTTAAGAAACCCCATAGTTTACCTGGCAACCGAAAGCCCTGGGGAAATCAAACTGCACTGAGAAGGTTGGCTGTGTGGAAGCTACATATATAGTGTGATTAAAAATCGTTTCTAAATTCTATCCATCAGCAAATTATAGTCAAATATCCAATAACAGGCAAGTTCCAGAGTGCAATTTCATTATCAGCATCAAGTCATGGTGTAATATTGAATAACAGGCAAATTACAGGAATACAATACATTTGCATTGCATAGGGTACAATGCAAATTACATACATGTATTAACAAAAGTTATAGAGTAATATTGAATAAACAAGCAAATTTAAGGGTACAATTTCATTTATCAACAAAAGTTATGGTGTAATATTGAATAAACAAGGAAATATAAGAGTGCAATTTCATTTATCAAAAAAAGAGTTGGTGTAATATTGAATGCAGGCAAATTTCAGGGTACCATTTCATTTATCAGCAACAAGTTATGGTGTAATATTAAATAACAGGCAAATTGCAAGATGCAATTTTAATTTTATTTTATACACAACAAGTTATGTTGTAATATTGACTAAACAAGAAATTTTTAAGAGCACAATTCTTTCCATCAACAACAGGTCTTGGTGAAATATTGAATAAACAGGCAAGTTTTCAAAGTACAAGTTCGTCCCTCTCAGCAACAAGTCAGGTTGTAATATTGAATAAACCAGATAGAATGGACAGGCAATTTCCATCCATCATGTAAAATTCCATCCATCAGCAACAGGTTATTGTGTGATTTTGACAAAACAGGAAATTTTCAAGAGTACAATTCCATGAGCAAGAAGTTTTGGTGAAATACTGAATACACAAGCAAGTTTCAGGGTACAAGTTCGTCCATCAGCAACAAGTTATGGTATGATCAGCAACGTAGTGGTAGGATTCTTCATCGATAAGGGTCGGCCTTTGGTTTTCAATTACAATTTTGGTTTACAATTACCTTGCTCAGCCACACGCAAGTGGTCCCTGTAGCAGTTAATAAACAATATATCTCTCGGAAATAGCTTCGATTGAATTTCCCCACTCCCTTGCAGCAATGTTTCTCAGCTCACAAGTAGACCTTAGATACTTCATGTATGGGAGATTTAGGTCGGTCATGCTGAAAAAAATGAGCATGACTTGGGGTCCAAAACGGGCCAAGATAGCATGCGCAGGATAGAATTCAGCCAATCAAATCAGTGCTAGGTTTATGATTATAATGACGAGGTCATGCTATTCCAAATGAGCATGACTTACCGCAGGGATACCAACTGAAAAGTCATTGAAACTCAGCCGACTCACAGGAGCGGTTGGGCTCTCTGAGGAAAGAAACCCTATGGCAGGTCATGCTCTCCAGAATGAGCATGACTAACCACAAGGGACCAAGGTAGGGAAGGGCAGTGAAATAATAAGAATCAACTGGACGAATGGAGTTTGAGGGTACTTTTTCAATAAAGAAAATTTTTAATCATTATAATAAATGTCTTTAGCTCTGAAAATTTTTAGTCATGCTCAGCATGACCAGCATGACCGCTAGCTTCGCCACTGTGTAGAAGTGATTGCATATGACGAAGAGATGGACAATAAAATGAAGGAAGTGAGATATAAGCAGTTGTTCGATTAGCGCAAATGGCTATCAACGAACCAATCGAATGATTAATTGTTTTAGGCCGTTTTTCCTGTTTGAATTATTTCTATTGTTGGGAGGTTAAAGTGACGTAGAGTCACTTTAACTTCCAAACAACAGCCTTCGGAAAATTTATCAAGAAAAATTACAAACAATTTTTCAAGTGCGGCTTTTGATATACATGATTGAAAGGAAATGTTTCGCATTACACAAAAACTCTTTGGTAAATTTTCTAGCAAAAGTACTGTTCTACCCAAAATGTTATTTTATAGGTATACTGTATTAGCGAAAATTCCAGTCTTACGGAAACTGTTCACACATTCATAGTTCACGCACTACCTCAAGGATGAATACTCAATCCCCTTCATGTTTATTGATTATATATTTTAATTTTTCTACAGATATGTTGCCTCCACAACTAACAATAACAACATTTTTCCCTGCATATTGATTCTTGGTTTTCAAAAAAGATGCAATGGCAACACCAGCTGCTCCTTCGACAACCTAAAACGATTAGCAAAAGAACTACATGGATGGAACATTGTCTAGAAATCTAGATGTTTCTAATTAAAGCAACTATTTACAAGTTTATCGTTTAGTGCTTGGTTACCTCTTGGCAAAGCTATGCAAGATTGTATAAAAATACGAGTATATATGTTTTTTTCCTCCCTGCATTTGACGTCAACTCAAAACCTAAGGTATGCCACACAGATCACTTACTTTCTGTCACTTGGCAGAAGACAAAGCTGAAACTATTGGAATAGAAAGGTTCACTTGGCAAAGGCGTTTTTTTTTCCAGAAAAGAATTTTTTACCTTACAGTGTTCTTGTAGCATTTTGTAAACGGCATAAGAGATTTCATCTTCAGAAACCAAAACCCATTCGTCAACAAGATCTTTGCAGATGTCAAACGTAATCTAAAGGAAGAAGGAACCAAGACTTTTAAAAACCATAAAGCATGATAGATACTGTTTACTAGATTTATTGTAGCTTTTACAACTGTACCGAAGAAACAAAATTTCCAATAGTGTTATACAGAGTTTCAAAGCTTCTATGACAGTTTCTTTATTTCACTGACTGCTCTCTAGGCCAAGTAATTTCAGAGACATTAACGTTAACATGTCATTTATGACTATCAATTCCACCAAAAAACCATTTTTTATTGAGTTTCATTTTTTATCGAGTTTCAAGCAAGAATTCACTTCTATAAAGTGGCCATTTTCCATTAATTTATAAGAATGCAAAAGCGGTATTCTCTTACCGAGCCTTGCTCTACACCACCAGCTGTTCCATCAGAGAGAGTGTCCAAAGATTCGATGTCTAATATTGATCCATGCTTGATCGATTCATACATGACTTTGGAGTTTTCTGGCTGGCATCCAATTATCTAGTCGATAAAAACCAGCTTTCAGATAAAAACTGAAAAAAGACTCACAGGGACCAGTTACAGCACCAGAGGGGGGGAATAAAAAACAATATTCCAAGCCCTATTAACTGCCAGAGAACGAAGACTTTTTACCAACAGGGACCGTAATTCACCAATTACAAACACTGAAGACTAACATTCAGTCAAAGAATAAGAATATTTTTATTCTGTGATTTGGTTGCGTAAAGACAGTTTCAAAACCATAGAACCAAGTTACAAAAAATAACTTCTTTAAATATTTCCCTTACCCCAACAATATCTCAATGAATTCAGATGAGATACAAAATAGTTGCTACTGTGAGTTGAGGGCTTGCCCCAGAGAGATTATATTTTTCCACTGTAATTTCTATTCTTCTGCCTTTCTAAAATGCACAAGACTGATTCAAAAATGTTAGTCTTGTTGGTCTGTAGGGCTGAGCTAGCTTCGCACATTATTTGGATGAATAAAAAAAGGATGTATCTTGTGTCATCAGAAACAAAGTGCATAGTGGTGAGCAAAAGGATTATATCATTAAAAGGTAATTAATCACCAGAGTTATAAAGATAAGATAAACAATACCTGTAAGAGTAATAAGATAAAAAATACCTTTATGTCAGGCTTCCTGTTTTTCATAAAAGCTGATATTCCAGAGATGAGCCCTCCACCTCCAACAGAGATGAAAACTGCATCAACTGAAGGAAGGTCTTCCAAAATCTCAATCCTAGTTAAGAAACAAACATGAACAAACATGATTTAGTCATGCAGAGATTGCATAACACAATAACAAAAAATTAGTAGTCTTTCCTTTGAAATATTTATATTATTTAGAGATAGGATTTAACCATTGAACAACCCAAAAATAACTATAAGAGAAAGGGCAAGAAAGGAGACATAATTATAGCAAAATTATGTACATATTGAAAATATTAGCAAAAATTGCTTACCCGATTGTTCCCTGCCCAGCAACAACATCAGGATCATTGTAAGGAGAAACATACAAAGCACCAATTTCCTGCATTTTGTTTAAAAACTTTATTCCAATAATCAACCAAAGCATAAGCAATGAAAAGTTATATTCATAAATTGTCTTATGCTAAACATTTCCAACAAAATTGTAATCTGAGCTGGTAGTCTTGTTCCAAATACATACTTCGAAACAGCACAGCTTTTGAGTGTGTTTGACAAAAGTCTTCCACAGATGTCTCACAATCAGTCTAGAATCTGAGCATTAACATATTCAATAATCCTACATTTTGTAATACACTACAGCTTTTTCAGTTTAACAAGACATTAATTTTCTAGCAATCAAATGATGTACCTCAGCATAATTTTTTGCAAATAGTTCAGTTTCAACGCAGTCAGTTCCATGAAACTTTAATGTTGCATTGGTCCTTTTAATACCTTTCACCTTTGATGAGCTTATATTCTCCAAGACAACTATAGTGCAGTCAACATCAGTTCCAGTCACACTTCTAGCCTATAAAGAATATATATAAATTTTAGAATCACTGGTAGATGAATGGCATTTTACCACTGTAATCTATCACTGTTGTTTGAGTTGTTATGATTTAATCAGCTATAGTTCATGACAACAACCATAATTTATTATGAAAGAAATTCAGGAAAAAAGCAGTACCATGATGAAAATCCAATGTAATGAGATTAAATTTTAAAAATAAATTTAATTTAACAAATACTAAAAATTTGCAATGCTTCACACACAACTTTGTGAAGCATGCCACACTTTTAGTATTGATTAAATTCCATTTATTTAGAAAATCTCATCTCATCACATTGTATTCTCGGTGTCATATTGCTTTGTTCCTGAATTTCTTCTGTATCAATAATCTTTGCAAGATTCACAGAATCAGGCAGACAGCCTATCCTGCCATTCTTCCTTCTTACATAATTTATCAGGACACAAAAGTTCACAATATTTTACAACAAAACACTGTGAATTTCATGAACTGATATTTTGTATATATTTCTTCCCCTGTTTATATGCAAATACCTTTTCTATGCTAATTGCATAAGGAAGAAAATATGAAATTTCAATTTTGGTGGCACACATCTATTTCTATCGCTTTACATTAATTGTATAACTTAATATTTACAAAGGTACATTTTCTTATAAACATTCTTGACTCTCTGTACTTCCCCCACAAGGCCAATGAATATCTCCCTATATTCCTAACATATACATATATACATGTATAAATGAAGATAAATATTTACATTATAATTGAATTTGTCAACCCTTTCCCTGCAGACAAATCAGAGCTAAAGTAGGTTGGAGAGGTTTTAAATTTTTATTGAAATTCCCACCTTTTTCAAGTCATAAGTCATACCCAAGATTCAAGTGCATTAAAATTATGTAATATAACACTAATCTTATCACAATACTTACACAGGCAAGTCCATGGTTTCCAGAAGAAGCTGTTACAATCTTCAGTTTGGTATCTGTGGCTTGGCACAACTTCTGGACTTTGTTTACTGCACCCCTGAGCTTGAATGAATTGGTGATTTGTTCATCTTCTGAAAAGAAGGAATTTCTCTTGTTCAACACTTGCACAGAATCTACTTTATTTTCAGTTGAGAGTCAGGTAAGTCACAAAAAGACAACAGAATTTTTTTCTTGAATCTATTGTAACAGATATATTTTGGTAGAACTGAAAGTTTACAAGAGCTAAAAATTTCCTTTCTGTTTGCTGTGTTATTTTTGTGAAACAATACCTATATGGATTTCATGGCAGTTTTTGACCAGATTTAAGAGTGCACAAGCAGTTACCCAGAGTGCAAGAGTGCATTTGTGATAACTGTGTACATGTGAGTGTGCACTAAATTTGGCAATGAATCTTGACTGTTTGTGTGTTTTTGGCATCCATCCTTTATGGAAGTCATTTTGCCATCTTTGAAAAACATTGGTTTATAAAAACCGTGATTTGAAAAGTTATTAAAGGAAAACTGATGAGTGATTTTGTTAAAATCAAGATTTTGCCAACATTTGGGGTGCTGAAAATGTTCTCGAAACACTTTTAACCCCTTGTGAACAATGCAAAAACATTGTAGCAGACAATGTGCCATCGGTTTCGCTTGGAATGATTTTTTCATCAGTTTCTGCAGAAAGTAATTAAAGGAAAACCAAAAGGCTGCTTTCACAAATCGCACATTTTTGTCTAAGCTTTGAAGACTTTCATATTATCTGGCATTTTTATTCATCTTTGAAAATATCAAAAAACAGTAAACGAAGGTATTTGTGATGTTTAAAATGAAGTTTAATCAGTCCTATAGATTTAGTGCGTGCGAACATCAGAGGGAATCGTCTGAATGAACCGTCAGGCCTGTATAAATCAACGTAAATTTGAGCCACTGCCAACACCACATCAATCACCCGGATGTGTAAGAGTGTACTGTTTTTAGAAACCTTTCTTGGGAGGGCAGCTGCCATGGTATGGACTCGATGGATATAAAAGCAAGTTTAACTGCACGAAGAACCTGGTTGCATATAATTATCGATATAATTTCCACTTCCTACCCCGTTTTATATATACCGAGCAACTATCTGACAACCATGGAGAATAATCCAAAGGGGTCTTCCTAACATACGCTTTGATTCTCTCGTATGCTTGCTTTGTTTCTGCAGCAATCAGCCCGTAATTTTCTCCCATCATGTTGACAATCTTGGGCACACAACAAAGTTCTTCTTTGCTTCCGCTCTGTCATGCCTCGCTTGCCAGCTTCCAAGAAAATCTCGCCTTCAGAATCGAGGCTTGGAGTGCTGTTATGGCGGGAAATATCATATTGTTTGCGATTTAGCGAAAAAAACATACAGTTGTCAGATACGCACACGCATCACGCGTGGAACCAGGCAGGAAAGAAATGGAAGCGCGATACACGCTCTTACGCTAGAAGAAAACAAAACAGTCTGGTTTAGGAACAAAATACACGAGAACAGACCTAATCAAACAAAATATGATATGATGCTGTAGAACCTCTTGTATTAGTTCGTTCCAAATATTTTTATTGAAGTGTTCTGAAAGTCAGAAAATGGCGAATTCGAAAACATCTCGAGCCTACTAAACACCATCTCTTGCAACAAAAACATTCATGACAAACGCCGCGCTGTTATACATGCTGATGGTCTAAATTAACCTATCAGCCTAGATCTTGAGAGTTTTAGCAGTCCACCTGTTCACCTGCCTCTGGCATGGCTCAGTTGCGAGGATGGCACAGTTGTTAGAGGCGCTGACTACAGACCCAAGGGTCTGTGGTTCGAGTCCCTGGCATGACCAAACTTTCACCCAGAGTGGGGAGAGTCGCCAGCTCTCTGCAATTCCAGGCGTAGGTAACATCGATTCCAGGTAACATCGAGAGGAAGGACCAGGATACTGCTCGATAAGAATAGCTTCTCAGTGTCCTAAAAACTACCTTCGGATGCTAGGTAGCAACAAATACAAATACAAAATGGCAAGTAACAAATTTTTATCTTAAAGACCAAATTTGTCTGTAACTGGCTCCATCTCTAAGAACAGAATTTGTTCTTCCGGGTTTGGCTGAAAACTACAAGTTCCTATTCCAGAAAAAGGTCCGGTTTTATCACCGGAACCAGCAGTCAGTAACAATAAACTCTCGCAACAACAGCTTTCTTTTCAGAAAAGCCCTTATACTTCATATTGGTTGATTTAAATAATGACACAGGGTTCATATTCATTGTTTTGAAAGAAATATTGAATGTTACAAAGGAATTTATAGCTACCAGTAGTCGGAGAATACTTTGTTTTCATATGGATCTGGAGCACATTATACAAGATGCAAAATATTCTTGAATGCAATCCTGAAAATTATTTTGGCTTAAAATAAGTTTATAATTTTTTACAACATTCGTTGCAATTAAAATGGACAGCTGCCACAGCAAAGTTTTGCCACATCGATTTTTAATGGCAGAAAAATTGTAAAAATAAACAAGCAACAACCAGGTTGTTTTACACTTTGTCAACCAAACAACAAGAAGTTAAAGGCAAAATCCAACAGTGTTTACATGTTACCAAGAGCCAAAAGCTTAATATTCATGGATTGTCAGATGTAGTGATGGAAGTAAGGCAAGTTTCTGTAGACAATGTCTCTGCAATGAAATTTGATTTGGTATTGGGAAGAAACAAATCAAGGCCAAAAACAAATTTATAGACAAAGCTATTCGATTTTTTTACAAATGATGATCAGCATTACATGAAGATTTTAAAATGAAGTTCAGGTATTCATATTTGTCATCCTTTGCAAGATAACACCAGTTATGTCCAATCAGTGAATACTGCTGCCATTGTATAAAGACCTTTTACAGCAATTGGGTGACAATGGATGATTTCACACAAGATCTTTAAAATCAATGGCATAACGAAGAGCCTGTTATATATTATTTTTTTTTCATCTTGCAAGCGAGTTAGGTGGTTGTCTTCCTATTGCTTTTCAATGTTTCTAGAAGGTGAGTGCAGGGCTTTGAGGCTGCATATGTCTTTTTTGATCATGTTTATTTCTTTTCAGATGCTTTCAGTTGGTTTGTTTTTTGTTGTGAGGTCAATTTCACTAAGGTCATTGATCAGCTTTTGTGCTTGGTCAGTGGATGTGCTACTTGCAGTACTTGTCACCATTTCTCTTTTTGGATCATTTTTCTCACCATTCCTATTTGCAAAATAGTGATTCTCTCTTGAAATGATTTTTGGGAGGATAATGCTCTTGAAATTTTCAAGTCCCTCTCCAGTTATGACTGCTGTGCAAGATGGAATGCGGATGTTGATCCAGATTTGATCATGCCTTATCACCTTTATGACTATTTCATCTAGTATGTTTTTTTCATTAATGAGATCAGTCCATGATATATCAAATCATCGCCCATGCTTTCATAGATAATGTTGTAATAAGATAGGATGGTACTTGCTAGATGATTGTTGCTTGTTGTGTAGTTGAAACTAGTCTGTTCTTTGAATTTATTGAGAAATTCTGTCGGATGTTTTGCTGGAATAAGATTGCTGCTGTTGAGCTTGTAAATTTTTTCCACACTGTTAAGGTTTGTTATTTTGCATTGTGGGAGCAGCGGTTTTTCTTTCTTTCCATTTTGCGATGCTCTTTGTTTCCGATCGTGTCTTTTTACACGTTTATCGGAGGGCTTATTGTTACTGTTATTGGTTTCGTTACTCTGGTCTTTCTCAAAAAAGAATAAGGTTACTCTGATGGAAATCTCACAAGCTCGCATGATTTACATAGTAAAAGGTCGCCTTGGCATAAGGACCCTTCATTTTCTTTGCAATCATTAAATGTAGAAATTGGTCCCGGGTTCAGCTCGATGTCTCCACTTAGGATGATGAGTAGAGTTAGATAGGCCATTTTCCCGCCATTTTTCAGTGGCCTTATTCTCAACGGGAACTTTCTTTTCGTGATTTCATTCTGCAGATAAGTTCCCAAACTTCCTCTGAATAGCGTTCGCTGTCTGTTCTTTCTCGACAAAGTTTCTTGTTCAACCCAGAAACATGATTTCCAACAAGACTTGAAAGTAATAACGCCGTGATAATTCCCGTGCTCGCCATCATGTACCAGCTTCGGTATTGCATTATTTTATTGAAACAAATTATAGCTATATAGAAATAGCAGCCTTAGTTGTAGGGACCTAGTAAGCACAGCTTAGTCAAAACGAGGGGCAAAACTATTCGAGTATGTGTAGAATGTGAAAGCGAGATGCCAAACTTAAAATAACAATAATAAATATATTGATATCAGATAGTAGAAATGGTGAGTGTTTCCAATGTCGCTTGAGATTTGTTATCATTTTATCAACTGGCATTTTATTTTCAAAAGCTAACTTCACTCAAAGAAACGTTCTAATCAAATCTCAAGCAATATAACGATATCCAGACTTTCAAGCTCAACACAATAGCCAAAATACCAGCCAGGCCCTTTTACTTTCTGTACAACAACCAAACTTGTTCTAATTTTTGCATTAGAAGGGAGACATTTATTAAAAACACATCTTTTCATATAACAGAAGATATTGTTCAAAAACAAATTTAACAATACATTTATAACCCAATTATTTTAATAAGCAAATGTTTTCTAAGTCATAAATTTCTTTCTTCAGCTACAAGAGGCGATTTTTCTCCACCAAGGCCTGCTCTTCACTCTAAGTATTTGTTTCAGATCACTGATCACTTCATTAAGATCGCTGTTTCGGTCTTGCATAGCCCGAAGTTCTTTTTCCACGAGCAACTTGGACTTTTTCTCTTCTGACAGCATCTGATTTTCTTTAGCAAGAGCATCGATCTTTTCTTTGCATTCTTTATTCTGATTTTGCAAAGATGCAATAGTTGAGTTCATTGCTAGACTAAGCTGCAAATGCTTGCTGTATTCATCGATCGAGGTCTTCAGCAGCCTATCTTTCTCACTTTCCAAGTTTTTATTCTGCAATAAAGAAATTGTTCTCACTCACGATGCAATAAATTGAAAGATGTATACTTTTGTTATTACATGAGCACCATGCCAATAATATACTTTATTACATTAACACCATGCCAATGATATACTCTATTACATGAGCACCATCTATAGACAGTAAGTGACAGTCACATGAACATAGGTGTCTTTTATCGCTCCACGTATTATAAATAACCATCGTTCAGATTGTTTTAAATTTATTCTTAGAAATATCTTCTTGATAATGATCCACCAGAAGCGTTGATTCCATTTTTCTGCTTATCTCTTCAGCTCTTACTAAATTACTGTCAATGGTTCAAAACTTGCTGATCACTTCACTTAGTTACAAATGCTTCTTGAAAAGTTTCAGTTGAAAAGTAATTTAAACTTTCTTTTAAATAATCTACAAAGGCAAAAGATCTCATCTTACGTTTTCCTCTAGAACAGAAGCTTTTGTCTCAAATTCTTGTGCTCTTGACTTCCAGTTCTTCATATTCAAAGTCATTTCCAGCAACTTTATGGAAGTCGCTTCAAAAGTTTCTTCGGCATCAACAAGACTGCGTTCCAACAACTTGAGCTTCAGTTCCATATCTTTGCCTACTTTTTCTTTCGATTGGTTGTCTTCTTCTAACTTTTTCACTTGTTCTTCACTAACCGACAACTTTTCATCAACAATGGCTTCTCGTTGTTCCGATGCCCAAAGCTGTTTCCGAGAAAAAATGTTTGTTAAAAAGTCTTTCAAATTGTAATATTAAATTTCAAATTATTTTTATTGAAATGGTCAATGTGTCAAATGATTGTGTTTATTTTATAAGCATACCTTCTCTGCCAACAAAGAGCATCTGACTTCACTTTCTTCAGCTCTCGTTCTCCAGTCTCTCACTTCCTTGGACAACTCTTCGAGTACAAATGAAGTTTCCCTTGCATCGTCTTCCAAAGCCAGCAGCTCTCCTTCGATTGTTTTGACATCGATTATAAGCAGAAACTTGGTTTCCTCCAGTGTCTTAATTGTTCCCTTGCAATCAGACAACCGTTCTTTGGCCAATAATCCTTCTTGCTCAAGCTCAGAAATTCGTTTTTGTTGGGCTTCTTCGTGTTCTTTGGAATCTCTGAGCTGCGAAAAAAGAAATGTTTCTTAGAAGGAATCGTCCACCAAGCTTCATTGCAACATTTGCAACAAATTTAACGATCTGTCGATTGATAGATTACCTAAAAAGGTTATCATCATTATTCACAAAATACTTCTAAACACCAACCTCACTTTGCAGTATCTGCAGCTGATTCTGGCTCTCTTCATCTTGCTCTCTGATGAGTTCTTCTAAAGAGTCTATTATCACTTGACTGCTTAGGTTTTCTGCCATCTTTTCTTCTCTTAATTCCTTATTCTCATTTTTCAAGTGCTCCATTTCTTCTTTGAGAAGATGTTGACTTTGTGTTAAATCTTCATTTTCCTTTTTTAGAAGGGCTTTCTCTTCTTCCCATTGTTTCTTGATCACCTGTTACAAGGATATAAACATTATTCAAGTATAAAAATTCTTGTTAATTTCAATTACCTTTGTACAATAATCTTCAGACGAGTTCAGACTTTCTTACTTATACATATCTTCAAAGCAAAAAATAAGCCATTTTTTATGTTTTTCTGATAATATTGAAGCTTAAAAACCCTCTACAGTTAGTGTTAAAAGACAGCAATGTACCTTCAGAATATTCATCATATTCTGCATAGTCAAAGGAGTTTGACAACTGTCTTTGTCGGCCAAGGTGCCAAAGTTCTCTTGAAGAAATACCGCAAATATCTGTTTCGCACACAACCTCTGCATTGCAAGCATGGATTTCTCTCGGTCATTCTCCAGCTCTCTTGTTAGTAGAAACAACTAGAATCGAATAAACGTTTATGGGCAAATAAGACACATTTTAAGAAAGGGTTGTTTTCTTTACTCAAAGATATATTTTGTAATTCTTTGACATCAACTTCAGATTATATCAACAGTACAAGCAAATTATAAATTTTGGACAAGGTTCGACATTACTTTTCCAGTTTATGTAATAACTGTTTTTAGAAAGTATGAAATGTGCAAACCTTGAATGGATAGTCCTTCTCTGTTTCTTTCCTGATCTTTTCAATTAAAGCGTGATTGATGCAGCGAAGGTTTTCTTTGTCCTTCTCAACCGAGCTCAACTTTTCTCCCATCGAGTTCATCTCCAACCTGATTTTAGACAACTCGCCTTTCACCTCCACGAATGCGTTTTTCTGCTTTCTTCTACCTGCGTTCGCCATCACAGATTTTCTTAAAAGCCAGCAATAGAAAATCGCAAAGTATCACAGTATCACGTTAACTCTGAAATACTCAGAACGGCACTTGAATTAAGTGTGAAGTAGTTCAGAACGATGCCTCTTTTATAGCGCTAGAGTTGCGTGATTGTGACGTAGTTTAATTAAAAGTTGTACGATAGATCTTACGTCACAATTAGATTTGAATCGAGGCCTTATTGAAAATTGTTGTACGATAGACGTTACGTCACAATTAGATTTGAATCGAGGCCTAATCTTTTTAGCAGGGTTTTAAAAAAATTCAACCTCGATTTATCGTCTAGCCATACCTTAATAAGAGCTGTGGGACTAGAGCAATGATTTTGAAATAGTGACTCTGGTAGTAATTCAAGATATGTTTATAGATATTCTTCCTCTTTTAGAATTTCGATTTACGACAGTTTAGTGCTAGAAGATTTCAGCAAGATTTACCATGCAGAGTATCAGAAAGGGGTCTTCTTGTTGTGCACTGTTTCCTTTTTCATTGACTTCTCCAAATTTTCTTTGTCTAAGAAGAAGATATCGATTTGGTTCTATTTCCTTTGCTCCTAACCAGACACGACAAAATTTGATTCATCTTTCGAGGCAAATTGAGCGTGTCAAGAGTAGTTTTCTGTCAAAGAATAAATTTTTCATAATCGCGGTATATCATGGATCAAATCCAAGTCGTCCTTTTATTGAATATGCCTTTCTCATAAGTCCTTCACCTCATATTCAGATTTTCAATTTTGATATTTTATTTTTGGTGCTACTTACGTCGAATACTTTTATATGATTTGCTCTACGTTAGGTTGTAATTTTTTGAAATGGAAGTTTCCGATGGCAGGTTTCTAGAAAATGAACACTGGAGTGACAATACAGGAGTCTCTACCTGCAACTGCCAATAATCTTTATGGATAGCTTCATTAATCAATGTGTCTGTTTTTAGTTCGATCGCAAATCTTTCACCATTTGGTAGAGAAATTTGATTTGATGAAGTGATTCACTGTAGAAAATGATCTCAGTCTTCATTGAACAACCGAGCAATTGTAATTGCTGTTTGCTATTGTTTTACCACAACGGTGGCACCAAGGAAGACCGTAGTAGGCTGTAGTTCCCCGTCGGAGCATGTTGATAATCATTTGGAAGATCAAAGAGCCAAACTCCTTTTCTTAATACTAGGGTGAGAAAGATGTTTTAGCCCCCTGTCAGACTAGTCACACCCTTCGTTGGAATATTTATAGTATGAGTTGGATTCCCCCCTCATGTCTTCCTACATTCGTTTTAATCACCTTTCCAATTTCCCGCATACTCTTATCAATTAGTTGATTCTTTAGGTTCAATTGCAGCTCAGAGGATGCGTGAGTTAATTCTGTATGCAATCAGACTTCAAAAACTTTCTATTAGTACAATTAGTACAGTTTTACAATTATTCGAAATTAGTACAATTTTTTCCTAGAGCAATTTCACTTAGATTCCTGGTTATATTCTGTTTTATTCTAGAGCAAGCAAATAGTACATTTAAAGAGGCTTCAAACACCTCTTTCAAGTACACCCCTTTATCTGCGTGTTAAATGACTCGATTCATTTGTCAAAAATGAACAGGTTTCTCAAAACGTCCACTAATTGCACACATTTGCATACATATATAAACCGTGCAATGCAATCATAACTCTATCGTGAATGTACAAAGAACAGAACCGATCCAACTAAACAACTCTATAAAAGAGGCATCGTTCTGAACTAATTTACACTTGTTTAGTTTAAATCTGGTTTATTCTATTAACAAGAGAGCTGGAGAATGAGCGAAAGAAATCCAAGCTTGCTATGCAGAGGTTTGTGCCAAACAGATCTCTGCGGTATTTCTTCAAGAGAACTTTGGCACCTTGGCCAATAAAGACGGTTTTGAAACTCCTTTGACTATGCAGAATATGATGAATATTCTGAAGGTACATTGCTGTCTTTTAACACTAGCTGTAGAGGGCTTTTAAGCCTAATTATCTGTAAAATATGAAAACTTTTTGCTTTGAAGACATGTATCAGTAAGAAAGTCTGAACTCGTCTGAAGATTATTGTACCAAGGTAATCCAAATTGTCGGAAATTTTCATAAATGAATGGAGAATGTTTTACGACTTTAGCTTAGTATATAATTCAAGTTAATGACGTAAAGAGTTAAGTCTTTATAGACCGCAGTGAGAAAGATTACTATTGAAGCAAATATTCATATACTTGTAACAGGTGATCAAGAAACAATGGGAAGAAGAGAAAGCCCTTCTAAAAGAGGAAAATGAAGATTTAACACAAAGTCAACATCTTCTCAAAGAAGAGGTGGAACACTTAAAAAATGAGAATAGAGAATTAAGAGAAGAAAAGATGGCAAAAGCTCTAAGCAGTCAAATGATAATTGACTCTTTAGAAGAACTTATCAGAGAGCAAAATGAAGAGAACCAGAATCAGCTGCAGATATTGCAGAGTGAGGTTGGTGTTTAGAAGTATTTTGTGAATATTGATGACAGCATTTTTAAGGTAATCTATCAATCGACAGATCGTTAAATTTGTCGGAAATTTTACAATGAAGATTGGTTAAACGATTCCTTATAAGAAACATTTATTTTTTCGCAGCTCAGAGATTCCAAAGAACACGAAGAAGCCCAACAAAAACGAATTTCTGAGCTTGAGCAGCAAGCACTGTTGGCCAAAGAACGGTTGTCGGATTGCGAAGGAACAATTAAGACACTGGAGGAAACCAAGTTTCTGCTTATAATCGATGTGAAAACAATCGAAGGAGAGCTACTGGCTTTGGAAGATGACGCAAGGGAAACTTCATTTGTACTCGAAAGTTGTCCAAGGAAGTGAGAGACTGGAGAACGAGAGCTGAAGAAAGTGAAGTTGGATGCTCCTTATTGGCAGAAAAGGTATGCTTTTAAAATCAACACAATTATTTGACACATGGAACATCTTAATAAAAACAAAATTTTAATAAAAACGTTTTTCGGATGGGATTCGAACAAAGCGAAATTCTCCTACATCTACCTCGTTTAGATGTGAATTTTAAATAGCAATCAAGGAAGTGAGCCATAAGCATTTGTTTGATTAGAGAAAATGGCTATCGACGAACCAATCGAAAGATTATTTCTTTTAGGCTGTTTTTCCTGTTTGATTTATTTCAATTGTTAAGTTAAAGTGACGAAGAGTCAAAGAATAAAAAGTTTTTTTCAAATATTAAAAAGTGGCTGTCACAAAAGGATAAGCTAAGCTGACAGGTGATATTTCCAACATCAGAACTTGTCAACAGCATATAGCACTTAAAAGCTGTGTGGGCATAAACTCCACACAGCTTTGCAAGACTTTTGTACTTCAAACAGTGTCAATGGAAACAGACTATTATTATGCATTCATTGCACTAGGCCGCGCAGGCTCTCACTTAAAAATTCTTCATATTATTATGATCTTCACATCAGGCCACCATAGAGCGCCATTTCAACTAACGGTCCTCAGCCTAGCAGTGGATAAACGGAGACCATGGTATGAATCTATGAAATACTTTTTCAGTGCACATAAAGCCAACTGCATATCACACTCGTTGCAATTTAGCGACTAATTGCTGTGGTTTTTCCCATTCCGATAAAAGCGTAAAGTGACGTCATTTCGGTTCAGTCTGCTCCTTCCAATTGTTAGGATCGGATGATTGATTTTATATGGCGCACTTCAGAAATATCCCCTTTTTCTAAATGTGTCAATTTTTGCAAGCTTAGTTGCGATCCACTTTTCGTATGCCTTTATTGTGTACCCTGTTCTAAATCGTCCCATTAAAGCTGCGTCCGGTGTAGAGGCATCTTCAAATTTTATTATTTATTCCGGAATTCTACTTCTCTTTTCGTTGTTTCCTATTTTCCACTTCTTTTTAACTCCCTTTTCACCAGTAGAAATGAGAGTCGAAGCGATTCTTCGGTTGTAACGTATTATTTCTTCTGGCTAATCCCTTTAACAAACCCATAAATGTATCTCTATTTCAAATTGTTCAAGAAAGATGACATGCTTTGCTGTAAAGGTGCCAGTGTGATTCTGGCTACGTAGGACGCACAACCCAAAGATTGCGGGGATATGATAAAACAGCATGTTCCTTCCAACATAAGAAACAAAACTGCTCCTCGATCTTGAAGGTCTAGAAACACTGTTAAAACAAGTGATTCTTCCATCGGTCAACATCTTTTAGGCAACCCAGATTGTGCAAACCTCTATAATAACGACATTTTTCGGATAATTGGCAGAGCCCGGTCGTCCTTCCATCTAGCAGTTTTGGAATCGATCTACATACAAACGAAAAAGCCGCTATTGTGTAAACAGAAGTAGTTCGTTTTCTCTCTTGGACTCCAGTGGTAATTTTTCTTTAGGCACGCAGTACTGACCGGTATATACCGGTCCTGTGCTTGTGCTCTTCTGATTGGCCTATTTCGATCCACGACTGGGTATATATTTTTCATCGTGTTCTTTCGGACCCTTATTCTGAGGTTTTATGCTCTGAGGAGTGTCAAACGAAAAAGCCTTTAGCCAATATGTTGTAAAATGTTTGCTTTTTCAAAGCCATTCTCATGTTTGTTAAACCGCAAATCAGCAAATACAACTGAAAACCATTAAGTGCTTTTTCTCATAAATTGTATAAATTAAGAGCTGGGTCGGCCGCAATTTGCAAATTTACTTTAACGTTTTTTAGTAGTTGAGGTGATCGTTTTGAAGATTCTTCGCTTTTGCTGCAAGTGGAGTTTCTTGTCTTTTTGGGTGATCACCTCTTAGTGAAGTTAATGGTGACGATGGGTAGGGGTGTACCGGATCAGGATTTTCAGAATCCGGCCGTAACCGGATTTACCGGATTTCTTCGTGGAATATCCGGCCAGATTCTACCGGATAATCGGACCATTTATAGAATTTTCAGTAATAAAAAGTTTTGAGCCACTTTGCGAAAAAATGTATAGCAAGAAGATCGAAGAGACCTATTCAGGGTTGCCAGATTGAATTTACAAACGAAGGCTAGACTGGTGAGCAATTTAAGCCAAAATGCTCATAAAAAGGCCAAATCAAAAACTCTCAAGAATCCATCGAGCAGGCACTGGTTATATTTCTACGCTTGTGCCTGTTAGATAATTTCTTAACTTTGATAAGAATCTTACTTTTTTCCAAATCCCTTTGCTAATATCAAGATAATATTTAGGTTAGGTGATAAAATTTGAAATTTGGTTAACACTTTGTAGTTAACTACTAATTATTCTATGGATGTAGTAATTACTTATTGATTTTGGACGTCTGCTGAAAAGGCCAACAAGGTCAAATTTAAGTAGTAAGCAAAAAAAATTTTTCCAGGTAATCTAAATCTAAAAAACCGAAAATGAAAAATTTGGCCTAAAAAGCCGATCTGGCAACCCTGGACCAAATTTTTGAATTATATCATCCAGTCTTCCTGTTTCGTGATGACGAGCCCTTTCATTTCAAATCTGTTTTCAAGGCGCTTGTTTTATCGTCGATATTGTTTAGTTCTGGAAAATCGATTTTTAATCACTGTATAAAGGGAGTCTGACTTGGTTTTCCAGATTTTCTTAGTTATGATTAAAGTTTTGGAAAATCCGGCAACTGGCCAGATTTCGGAAACAAATCCGGCCGGAACCGGATTTTGAAAAAATCAGCGATCCGACGCCGGATTATCCGGCCTACCGGATATCCGGTACATCCCTAACGATGGGTAACGTTAGGGAAGAAATGTTCGAAGCCTTTTTTCATATATTTGGCAAAGGTGTAACAGGCCTGACAAGCTGCGGCCAGTTTTGAACTAACCTACAAGAAAGACCTCCAGAAGGACCAATACTCCTGTGCAAAGAATAGAAAGTTCACGGAAAAATAATTGCACGAGTTAGAAAAAAATGATATAAATGGAACAAATCAATATGCTGTCAGTGAAACAGAAAACAGTCACATGGATAAAAGAATTGTTTACAAATATATCAGCCTAGCATGCAAGGCTACTTCAAGACTGCTTAACAAGAGTCAGCCTAGCATGCAGGGCTACTTCAAGACTGCTTAACAAGAGCAAATGCAAAATTAGTGTAGAAACTGAAGCAAAAAGAAAACTGTTTTCTGTTGAAATTTATTTACAAAGCAAAGATTAAAAAATCACAATTACACAAATCTACACGTTACTTCGGTGTAAGGCCACATTGATGTTAGGTTAAGTTTTGTAAAACATTTTGGAATATGATTATTGTGAAAAATTTTAATTTCACTGTAAAATCTTTAATAAATTAAACGACCTACTCTTATAATGTTCAAGATGGCTTGATTTATATATTTTTTCTTCGGAAAATTTATCAAGAAAAGTTAAAATCCATTTTTCAGTGCGGCTTTTAATATACACCATTCAAAGGAAATGTTTCACTTTACACGAAACTCTTAAAAAAAAATCTTTTCATTAAATAATCAACTATTATAAAGTTTTAGGTAAAAAGAATATATTAGCTAAAACTCAAACCTTACGGAAAATGTCGACACATTCATAGTTTAAGCACTACCTCAAGGATGAATGCTCACTCCCCTTGATGTTTATCGATTATGTATTTCAACTTCTCCACAGATATATTGCCTCCACAACTAACAATAACAACATTTTTCCCTGCATATTGATCCTTGATTTTCAAAAAAGCTGCAATGGCAACACCAGCTGCTCCTTCGACAACCTAAAACGATTAGCAAAAGAACTACATGGATGGAACATTGTCTAGAAATCTAGATGTTCTAATTAAAGCAACTATTTACAAGTCTATCATTTAGTGTTTGGTTACGTCTTGGCAAAGCTATGCAAGATTGTATAAAAATATATATGTTTTTTTCCTCCCTGCATTTGACGTCAACTCAAAACCTAAGGTATGCCACACAGATCACTTACTTTCTGTCACCTAGACAAAGACAAAGCTCAAACTATTGGAATAGAAAGGTTCACTTGAGAAAGGCGTTTGTTTTTGTCCAGAAAAGGATTTTTTACCTTACAGTGTTCTTGTAGCATTTTGTAAACGGCATAAGAGATTTCATCTTCAGAAACCAAAACCCATTCGTTAACAAGATCATTGCAGATGTCAAACGTAATCTAAAGGAAGAAGGAACCAAGACTTTTAAAACTATATAGCATGATAGATAGTTCACTATATTTATGATAGTTTTTACAACTTTATCGAAGAAACAAAATTTCCAATAGTGGTATACAGTGTTTCAAAGCTTCTATGACAAATTCTTTATTTCACTTCAGAGACAATAACGTTGACATGTCATTTATGACTATCAATCCCACCAAAAAATCATTTTTTATCGAGTTTCATTTTTTATCGAGATTCAAGCAAGAATTCACTTCTATAAAGTGGCCATTTTCCATTAATTTATTAGAATGCAAAAGCGGCATTCCCTTACCGAGCCTTGCTCTACGCCACCACCTGTTCCATCAGAGAGAGTGTCCAAACATTCAATGTCTAATATTGATCCATGCTTGACTGATTCATACATGACTTTGGAGTTTTCTGGCTGGCATCCAATTATCTAGTCAACAAAAACCAGCTTTTAACAAACTGACTAAAAAAAACTCACAGACATCAGTTGGCGTGCCAAGGTGGGGGGGGGGGGAATTGGACAAAATCAAAAAATCTATTATACGCCCTATTACCTGCCAGAAAACGACCTTTTACCAACTGGGAATCGTAAATTACCAACACACAAGACTTACATTTAATCACAGAGTAAGTATATCCCGGTTTTACTAAACTATGGAATAACCCAAAACGAGCCAGAAAACGACCCATAACCAGCCAAAACCAGGCAAAACCAGCCGTAACGACCCAAAAATACACAGAACGACCCAAAACGATCCAAAACGTCGCAAATAGCATCGTGCAGATCGACCATTTTTCGCGCCTTTTTTCATCCTGTGCACGGGGGCAGAGCAAGATGCACTGTCATTTACATTCAATATTTACATGTACTTTTTAACTAGTGACAGATAATTATAATTGTATGATGAAGAAATAAATATTTGTATATGTATTTACCTGGCTACGTATGATCGGGATATTCTCAGCAAGGAGGGGCTTTTAATAAACTTGGAGGTGGGAAAAATTTAAAAAAAATAGCGAGCTAAGTGTGCCTTCGGCCTTTTTCTTGATTTCCAGCCCAACCCTTGTATGATAACAAGCTGCAAAAATCACCATAGAACATAGCAAATCTAAATTATTTCTGGAATCGGCAACCATCGCATTTAATAGGTTATCATGATGATGAGAATGTACTTGATCATTATTAGGATGGTTTATACGGAAAATGCCGTTGCTGATTTTGGCCGCTTAGGCCTCTGCCCATCACGCATAAAGAAACAGGCAAAAAATTGACACAACTGGGAGTGAAAAAAAGAGAAAAGGAAAACATATTACCTGCTTTGTATCTAAAGGGTGAACAGCATCGCCTCCATTTTCTTGGTTTTCTACTCTCAGCCCCCGCGCACAGGACGAAAAAAGGCGCGAAAACGGTCATTCTGCTCGATGCTATTTGCGACGTTTTGGATCGTTTTGGGTCGTTCTGTGTAATTTTGCCTGGTTTTGCCTGATTTTACCTGGTTTTACCTGGTTTTACCTGGTTTTACCTGGCTTTACCTGGCTTTACCTGGTTTTACCTGGCTTTACCTGGTTTTGCCTGGTTTTGCCTGGTTTTGCCTGGTTTTGCCTGGTTTTGCCTGGTTTTGCCTGGTTTTGCCTGGTTTTGCCTGGTTTTGCCTGGTTTTGCCTGGTTTTTGCTAGTTATGGCTCGTTTTGGGTAATTCCATAATTTAGTAAAACCGAGAATATTTCTATTCTGTGATTTAGTTATGTAAAGGCAGTTTCAAAACCATAGAGCCTAGTCACTAAAAAACTTTCTTGAAATATAACTCCTACCCCAACAATTTACTTATTTAATTTCGACAAAAATAAAAATATTTGGATGGATAGAAAAATAAAGAATTAAAATGTTATCAGAACCAGAGTGCATAGTGACAGGCAAAAGCAATCTATCATTTATCAAGAGGATAATGAAATTAATTGCCAGAGTTATAAAGATAAGATAAACAATACCTATAAGAGCAATAAGATAAAAAATACCTTTACGTCAGGCTTCCTGTTTTTCATAAAAGCTGATATTCCAGAGATGATTCCTCCACCTCCAACAGAGATGAACACTGCATCAACTGAAGGAAGGTCTTCCAAAATTTCAAGCCTTGTTAGGAAACAAACAAACATGAAAGTTTATTTCATCTTTAGACAATAGAGTGACTGACAACTCTCAACTGATTTTGTCATGCAGAGAACAGAGATTGTGAATAGCAAAAATGAGTAGTAGTATTTCCTTGGAGATAGTTTCACTATTTTTAGCGATAGGATTTAATTTAATATAATTTGAAAATGGCTTTGAAAAAAGCAAACATTTTACAACATACTAAAAGCTTTTTCGTCTGACACTCCTCAGAGCATAAAACGTCAGAATAAGGTTCCGAAAGAACACGAAGGAAAATATATACCCAGTTGTGGATCGAAATAGGCCAATAAGAGAAACGCAAGCACAAGACCGTTATAGTTGACCAATCAGTGCCGCGAGCCTAAAGAAAAATTACCAATGGAGTCCAAGAGAGAAAACGAACTCCTTCTGTCTACACAATGGCGGCTTTTTCGTTTGTATTTAGATCGACTCCAAAACTGCTAGATGGAAGGACGATCGGGCTCTGCCAATTATCCGAAACATGTCGTCATTATAGAGTTTTGCACAATCTGGGTTGTCTAAAAGATGTTGATCGATGGCAGAATCACTTGTTTTAACAGTGTTTCTAGACCTACAAGATCGAGGAGGCTGTTCTCTTATATTATAATTATAAGAGAAAAGGCAAGAAAGGAGACATAATAGCAAAATTATGTACATATTGAAAATATAAGCAAAAAAAGCTTACCCAATAGTCCCATGCCCAGCAATAACATCAGGATCATTGTAGGGAGAAACATACAAAGCACCAATTTCCTGTATTTTGTTCAAAAAAACGTTATTCCAATAAACAACCAGAGCATAAGTGATGAAATGTTATGTCCATAAATTGTCTTATGCTAAACATTTCCAAAAGCATTGGTGTCTGAGCTAGTAGTCTTGTTCCAAATATACATTAAAACAGCTTGGAAATGTGCATGACAAAAGTCTTCTACAGATGTCCCACAAACAGTCTAGAATCTGAGTATTAACATATTCAATAATCCTACATTTTGTAATACACTACAGCTTTTTCAGTTTAACAAGATTTTAATTTTCTAGCAATCAAATGATGTACCTCAGCATAATTTTTAGCAAATAGTTCAGTTTCAACGCAGTCAGTTCCATGAAACTTTAATGTTGCATTGGCCCTTTTAATACCTTTCACCTTTGACGAGCTTATATTCTCCAAGACAACTATAGTGCAGTCAATATCAGTTCCAGTCACACTTCTAGCCTGTAAAGAATATATATAAATGTGGGTCTTATTATAATCAACGAAACGAAACGAAACGAAACGAAACGAAACGAAACGAAACGAAACGAAACGAAACGAAACGAAACGAAACGGAACGAAACGAAACGAAACGAAATTCTGTGAAATACTGCGAATTACTGCGAATTACTGCGAATTACTGCGAAATATGAAAAATTATGGTCAAATAACAACAAAGTACGCCAAAATTCTCAAACCATATCATAAATATTCACTTCCACAGTCCAGTGCGGAGGACAAAATTCAACAACGAAGACAGTTGAATTTTGGTAACCCCTTCCCTGATAACAAAGACTTTCACTAGGTCAGACAGATTTTCAATTCCCACTAAACAATGTTTCTACCTTGTTCAAGTCACACCTCAGATTCAAGTGCAATAGAATTATGTAATATAACACTAATCTTATCACAACACTTACACAGGCAAGTCCATGGTTTCCAGAAGAAGCTGTTACAATCTTCAGTTTGGTATCTGTGGCTTGGCATAACTTCTTGATCTTGTTTACTGCACCCCTGTACTTACATGAATTTGTGATTTGTCCATCTTCTGGAAACAATCAATTTCTATTGTTCAACACTTGCCTGGGAATCTACTTTATTTTCAATTCAGAGATATCCTGTGTAGACTACAGGGCTACTGGGAGAACAGTGTAAATATGTATATATGCATATCACTACTGAAGTATTATCCTGTATAAATATTCGATGCTAATAATAATAATAATAATAATAATAATAATAATAATATTAACGGTTTTCTATTGTCTATATATTGTTTATTGGCGTATATCCAGCATGAGCTTCACATGAATTCAACCCTGGGAGTCAGGGAAGTCACAAAAAAGACAACTCAGAAATGTTTTCTTCACTTTATTTCACATTATATATTTTGGTACAAATAAAAGTTTACAAGCTATTAAATTTTCTTTCTGTTTGCTGTTTTATTTGTATGAAACAATTTTGTTAATGTTTGGTTTGTTACTGGATACCTATATGGATTTCATGGCAGTTTTCGACCAAATCTTGGGAGTACACAAGAATTGACCTGGGAGTGCAAGTGTGCACTTGAGTGCACTTGTGATAAGTGTGCACATTTGAGTGAGCAATTTTTCAATGATTCTAGAGATTGTTTTATAAAAACAATTTTATATAAATAGAAGCCTCAAAATTAGCCAAAAGTTAATAACAAAAAATAAAAACAAAAGAGACCCGCCCTACATCAGAACTTTGTCCCGACAACCATGTTTTTGAGATCTTGTCCCGATCTTAAGATAATCTATCATACAGGAGCTCCGACAAAGGTTGGAAAGAGGGGGGGGGGGGCAAAGGGAAATTTAACTATCATAACAAAAGATTTTGAAAAAGTCTACTGTCTTGCAAAAACATGAGGGGGAATAGCACCGACTACGCCCTCCCCTGCGCGGAGGCGCTGTCATAGTCAAAGAAAAAGTTTATTTCGAGGGGCAAATTACTCTTCGTTTCCGTTTCCATTTAGGAATCTGTTTGTTTTATCTTAAAATCTCTGGGAATCCTTTTATTTTTGTGAAAATCTCGGTTTATATAAGCTAAAACATAACCACACCCGGAAATTTATTTAAACCATCAAATAGATCAATTCTGATGGTAAAAGTTAGGTTGTACTGTAAGGTGGTAACAAATGCTTCAGTGAGTGCATTTTTCAATCATCTGGAAACATAAAGAATCGAAAATTTCCCCACTCTTTATCGTCTGTTTGTTTATTGCTCCTATTGAAATAATCTGTAGACGGGCAAAGGCTGATGCCATCTAGGTAAAAACCGATCCTATATTATTTTAAAAATTAAATTATTGAATAGCCGTACACAGATTTTCAAAAATTTGTTAATGGGGCAGAGGGTCCCTTTAATTTTCGAGTATGCCTATAATGATTACAGGAATAAAAATTATAATATTATACAGTGATATAAAAGCTATTTAAAGAAGTTTCTTTTTAAATACCTAAGATTTAATTAGATAAATAGTTAAAAATAATCATGTCATACAATTCATGTCAAGAACACGACCTGTGCTACAAAGGATCTACATAGCCTGCAGCTGCAATTATCCTTCCATTGTTTGATCTTGACTTTAAAAGTATGAAGAGTATTTAGTTTTTTCAAGTTTTCTGGTAAATTGTTCCAAAGCTTGCATCCTAAATAGGACAAGCTTTCGATTCCATGAGTGATGGTTCGAGTTTTTTGAATTTTCATTAATCTACTGTTTCTAAGGTGCCAGTTACACTATACCGGATTGCTATCGGAGCGGAGTAACTTTCATATCGGATAGGGGCTTGAGTTACACTACGCCACACCAATCCGATACACAACGCTCTGATTAGCGGAGTGAAAATCACTCCGCTCTGGAGGTAATACGGAAATCACTCCGGAGTCACTCCGTAGCGGAGCGTTGTAGTGTAATCGCACGAATCCGATATGCTCCACTTTAAAGACTCATTGCTAACAATGAGCCATTGCGCTACGCAAGCATCCCATAATGCATTTTCAGACAGTCTGAAATCAATCCGTAGAAGTTTACTGCCATTGTTTGGATCGTCGCCTGGATAATTTGCCACCCTCGCAAAGGCTCATTGTTAGCAATGTGTCTTTAAAACAAAGGATTTTCTTATTGTTTTCTGCTTGACGCAATTCGATCGATAGTGAACAATGGCGCTTTCTGAGATTTTGTTGCTGTTGGATAATGAAAAATCGAAATCATCAAAACATTTTTGTATTTGGATTTCATCTCTTTCCAAATTTTAATGAAGTGGTCCTTGGACGAAAAACATACTTTAACACATCAGATAGCAACATAATCTCGCTATCCGTCCTACAACTCCATCATTTATCTCTCAATTTCATGGTTGTTTTCGTTATTTTATGCATAGCTATTGAAAACGAATTAGCAACAGCACATAGATTCGAAAATATCATCAACAAATTTTATCTGGTGAATTTTGTGTACCAGAAATGTAATGGAATACAGGCTTACGAGCGAGTAGAGCGTTGTAGTGTAACTGCTACCTTAAATAACACTCCGGAGTAAAAGTTACTCTGCTCTGCTCCGCTCCGATAGCAATCCGGTTTAGTGAAACTCTAGCCTAAGATGGTAGTGGCTGCTCTTTTGTATAAATATTTCATTCATAAAGCTTGGATTGAATTTATGTACAGTTTTTAGATCTCAGCTTCGATGGGAAGTTGCATTCATCCATGTTATTATTGAAGCAATTTTGTAGAGTAGCTGCAAACATTATTGGATTATCTTTCAATATTTTTGCAGGGATGCTTCCTATAGGGAATGCCTTTTTGCATTTAGTATTTCGAGCTGATGTAAAGCTTCCAGAAAAATGACGTTACTAAAGGTAAACGGCTCAGAAGGAACCCAATTCTCTTCTATCTTATTAGTAATTGGGTTCAGGTAGTAAGTTGATGTTCAGGTAGCTCAATATAAGTTCTTTTTTATTTTTCGCTCGAAAGTCTTTAAGCTTATTGAAGACGTTTTCAGAGTTCGAGTTTTCTGCGACAGTGTTATTCGAGCTTTCAGCGGAGCCTGCATCCACATTTTCGTCAGCAAGATCTATGTAATTAAAAGAGGATACCTCAGAGGTGTTATGCTCACGGATATTTTTTCTGATTTTTAGTAACTCCTGAGGCAACATCATTATTCTTTTTTATTTCATTTGTTAACATATCATTGTCGATTTCATTTGTTAAAATCTTACTAAATCGTCATACTTTTAATATTATAAGAAAATTATTAGCAATAATACTGTCTGTATACCTGTTGAGATGTTGAGGTGTAGTTGGCTACGATTAATGTGCTCAAAAGTGTTCTCTATCGCACGTACTATTTATTTGTCTTCAAGATTGTCCCCTCTTGTTACCAACCCAGAAATGGTTACATTCATACCTTTTGCCTTTATTGATTTGCCAAAGCTTATCAATTCCGTTGCAATGACCTATCTTGTCAGACTCTGACTTGTCAGACTTGAGATCATTTGTTCCACAGTGCAATATGACATTGTTTGGTTTTTGTGTACGAAGAATTGAGTACACTATGTAGTGGGTCGCGGGCAGTGGCGGAAATTATGGCGGAATGGAGGGGCTCGGGACCCCCCAATCAGAGATGTCGTCGGAAATTTCGGGCTTTCGTCGGATAATTTCAGCCTTGTACTTACCCCTGCCAACATCGCCTCTGTCGTACTTGCACACACATTAACCAATCGACCACTATCATTAACCATGACGAATCCTTCAACATCAGATCTCACTTTAACTGTTCTTCTTCCTGTGTGATTTACTGCATCATCTGCACCAAATGCCAATCTCTTTACATAGGCGAAACCTCCCGTCAAATTAACACCCGTTTTGGAGAACACTTGAGAAATGTTGCTGATAAAATCCATCTGACAGAAAAACACCAGAGCGATGCAGATAGCAACATGTCTAAACATTTTAACTCCTCCACTCATTCTACTGCCGAAATGTCCATCCTTAGCTTATTGCATGCACCGCAAGATGCCACCAAACGGAAGACTTTGGAGAAACGTTTAATTTTTAGCCTAAAAACTCTTTATCCTAATGGTCTTAATAAACATTTTAATTTCCTTCAATAATATTTTTTTATATCTTTTTCCTTCTCTTTTCTTACTTTCCTCCCATTCCCTTATTCAGTTTTGCTCGGCTCGTTTCTTTTCTAGCCACTTGATAACGAGTACATGCTCGAAACGGAAACTTTCTCGAAGCTTCGCAGAAAATCTTTAACGTGTAAACAGGAGTGAATCCGATACGAAATGAATGTGGACAGAGCTTAAGACCCCGTTTACACGGGATCGATCCAGGCCGGGATCGATCCCAAACTGGTACGGATCGGCCTTCCGTTTATACGGGAACGCTCGGGATCGATCCGCTATCCGTGCTAATTTGGGTTTGCTTTGGAAAGCGTTCCAGTTTGGGATCGATCCAGTTTGGCGACTAGGCTCCCAGTCCTGGCCATCGTCTAACTTCAAAGTTTTGTACTCCAGCGTGAACGTGATCTTCAGGAGTAGGGCCGTTTATTTTGTTACCATTTTACGAATTAAAAGCCATTTTTTTGTCAATCTTCCTACAAACTTGGTGCTATCAACGCTATTTTCTTTGTGTTGCTAATGACATAAGCAATACGCATGTGCGTTCCTCCCTAAGGGCCGATCTGGGATCGATCCTGTGTAAACGCATAATGTTTTGGGATCGATCCCGTGTAAAAACTAGCGAAATTTACGGATCGATCCAGATTGAGACCCCGTTTACACTGTCCCGGGACAATTTTGTACCGTTACGGTTCACAAGTGTTTACACTGTCGCGGTTCCAAATTGTTCCGTTTAGCCGTTCTGTTTACACTGTACCGGTACGACCTTAATTTAATGGTAGAACATTGTATTTAGTCAGAAGCTGTATTTAGTCAACCAAGGCTTTTATTTTGCCGCTGAAGTCAACAATCGAATTTTTATTGTGAGTTAAAATGGAGCGGAAGGCCGATTAAAACTTTACTTGGACGAAAGACAAGGTGGCTTAAAATCCAATCAGGGCTTGGACTGGGAAACACTACAAGCCTTTTCTGTGGTCGTCTTTTCTTCAGAATTTCCTTTTCTTCAGAATTTGAGAACGTAGTTACGCCACAATCAAAGCCTCGATTACCTGAAACAGCCATACAAAAGACCTCTTTGTGATTCGTGACAAAATCGTCTCGGATAGGTGTTTACACTGTCCCGTTCAAAAACGGAACCGTGACGGTACAAAATTCGTTCGCTTTCAAAGCAGGGTCAAAACTGTTCCGGATAGCAGAGCAAAATCGTCACGGTTCCACAGTGCTAGTGTAAACGCAAGGGCGAACCGCGACAGTTTTGTCACGGTTCCAAACTTGCACGGGACAGTGTAAACGGGGTCTGAGATCCCAGACCAGATCGATCCCGTTTCTCCCGTATAAACGGGGTCTATTATTCGTATCGGATTGGGTCAGTGAACCCGATATGAAATGAATCCGGTATCGTGTGAACAGGGCCTAAACCCCTAAATGCAGCTGCCAAAAAAATCCATTCTGGACTAGACAGATTGTTGAACTGCACGAAGGGACTGGTCGCATATTATTATCAATATCTTTTTCACCAGGATGAATCCATGCATCGGTGCGAGGATGGCATAGTTGCTAGAGGTGCTAACTACAGACCCAAGGGTCAGGAGTCACGAGGTGTGGTCACATCGAGAGGAAGGACCAGGACACTGCTCGATTAGCATAAGCTCCTAAGTGTCCTAAAAACTACCTTAGGATGCTAGCTAGAAACAAATACAAAAAAAATACAAATACATGCAAATCTCACGCCAGACATACGCCAGTGAACAATAGAAGTGCAATAGGGAATCGTTAGTCAAAACTATAACAGGGAAGCCTTTCTTCTCGACCTGCAAAGTATCGATTGGGAAATGGCTATATCCATCGTCTGTGATGACCCTAATATCATGGCAAACAAATTTTGCGAATTATTCTACTCGATCTTAGATATGCATGCACCTCTAAAACACATTAAGACATGCACCCCCACCCTGGATAACTTCCCGTATCAGAAATATGATATATGAGAGACACCGGACTAAGAAACGTGCTGAAAAAGATCGATCTCTATGGCCTCAGTACAAGCGCTTAAGAAACAGGGTGACCAGTGAGCCCCGAAGAGCTGTCGAAAACTACTTCTGTAATTTAGTTGATGAAAATTTGAATAGCCCTAAGGAGATGTGGAAAACGATTAACAAAGTTTTAAACAAAAGTCAGTGCTCCACGACTGCCAGATCCGTCATATATGAGGGTCAACTGATTGAAAAGCAGAAGGGAATTGCGGAAGCATTTAATAACCATTTCACAACCATAGGCCCTAAACTTGGGGAAAATTATCGTAACTAAAGAATCAGATAACCCACTAAAATACTTCACTGATGAAGATGCATCCATAACCCTAAATTTTGAATTTCAAGCAATTACTTCAGACCATATAAAAATTGGAATCAAAAGATTGAAATGCAATAAATCTGCAGGTTTTGATAAGATCTCAGTACAGTTTGTAAAAGACGCAGCAGAAATTTTATGCAAGCCACTAGCTGCTATATTCAACTCTTCATTCAAAAACGGTATTTTTCCATACACATGGAAAATAGCGAGGGTGACCTCTATTTTCAAGTCTGGTTCTAAAAGTGAAATGGGTAATTATAGGCCTTTATCCGTGCTATCTGTATTCTCGAGATTACTGGAAGATTTGGGCACGACCAAGTCTCGACTTACATGAAAGAGCAAAAGAAATTTGCTGAAAGTCAACATGCATTCTTAAAGATGCGTAGCACCCTGACCTCACGATTCATGGCTTCATGGTTTTCTAATGCATATCAGCTTCATGGTTTTCTAATATTGACAAGCATAGAATTAATATAAGCGTATTTCTCGACCTTAAAAAAGCGTTTGATACGGCGAACCACGGGAATCTTCTATCGAAACTAACCAAAGACAGAGTGGAAGGGACATCTCTTCGGTGGTTCACATCGTATTTAACCGGCAGAAGACAATACTGTCAAATAAATGGCCATAGATCTAGCTTAAAAGCTGTTCACTGCGGTATCTCCCAGGGATCGTGTTTGGAGCCACTCCTCTTCATCCTGTATGTCAATGATTTTGAGCAGTACCTTAAAAAATGCACCTCAAACATGTTTGCGGAAAATACCAGTGTCACCTGTTCTGCCGAAGATATCTACGATCTCTGTAATGATCTAAATGCTGAGATCGACAATATTGCAGAATGATGACGTCAGAATAAGCTTAGTTTGAATACCGAAAAAACAGAATATATGGTTATTGGTCATAAACGACAAACCAACCTTGGCCCTTGGTCCACTAGAAGTAAATGTAAATGGAGAGCCAATCAAACGAGCTCAAAAGATAAAATACCTTGGAATTACGGTCGACAAACACCTGACATGGAATGAGCAATATAAAAACCTTAAAGGTAAATAAAAAATGCACTCTCGTTTCTGTGGAAACTGAAAAACATACTCCCACAATCGAAACTGGATCAGGTCTATAAGGCGCTACTCGAGAGCCATTTGAGATACAGTGATGAACTATGGGGCAAATTGTCAAATACAAAGCTCGATTACTTCAGCGTTTACAAAACAGAGCGCGCACGCTAATAGAAGGCTCAAGATTAAAGGACGGGTGGAGCTGCAATTGGCTTTCAGTTTCGAATTTGAGAAAATTTGACAGGGCAGTAATGATCTACAAAATAATAAATGGTCTCTGCCCTGACAATTTGAAAGGAAGACTTGTCACAAGATCCCAAATATCTAATTATTCAACAAGAAATTGCTTTTACCTAGACATCCCAAGGCAAAACCTAGAATTCTCCAAAAGGAGTTTTTTCTATTGTGGTGCACAGACGTGGAGCGAAATTCCATTACAAATAAGAATGAGCTCCACGATAACCACGTTCAAAAAAAATTAAAGCATCCTTTCCCAAAGCACGATCCCTAGGAATACCAGCATTATATATAAATTAATCTTTACTTTTTCTTTTTTAACCTAGTAGCTGATAGGGTTTCTGTGTATAAATATGGTAAAATGAAAAATGAAATAGTCCACGCCGGATATCTCCGGCGCAAGCTACATGGATTTCCATATCTTACCCCGTTTTATATATACCGAGCAATCTCCTGATAGCCATGGAGAATAATCCAAAGGGGTCTTCCTTACATACGCTTTGATTCTTTCATATGCTTGCTTTGTCTCCGCTGCAATTACCTCGTAATTATCTCCCATTATATTGATAGTCCTGGCCACACAACCATAGAGTTCCTCTTTGCTTTTGCTCTGCCTCGCCTCGCTCACCAGTTGCCAAGAAACAATGATATAATCATAATAAAATAATAATGGATGTATAGAATAGCCCGAAATGGCACACAATCTACTACAACAAAACGAAATCTCGTAATTTTAAATGGTTTATTTAAATTGCTACATCTGAAATATTACTACATATAGCTACGAAAATTATAACAACTTTAGTATACAACAGCAAACTGATCAGCACAATTTATAAGCATCGAGTTAAGCCGAAAACCCACTCCGGAAAATGATCCGCGGATCGGATAAGATCGTGTTGTTCTTTCGATCCGCGGATCGTTTCAGATTCGAATGCACTAGACTGGTTCCAATTCCAAGAAATTATAAAACAAGGGGCATTTTTGAGTAGAAGCTGGGGTCTATTTGATTTTGGGTATTCCGACCATGCTGATTACGAATTTCGAGGATCCCAAGCGAAATTAGCTCATTTAAGGGCTTAATTTGCATATCAAAATGGCTGCCAGTCGAAATATTCAAAATGCTGCCAAGAAAATCCATGACACTGCATTCGAATAGGATATTCACTAATATTGCTGTTATGAGGACAGAGCTTGGTAAAATGGTGTACAGCAACATAATCTACACAACAGGGAACTTTTCAAATTTTTCATTACATACATGACGTCATTATGATGTTATAATTGAAGAAAATGGCAGAATTTGCCAACTATTGGTAATATCTCAGTTTTAATTATTTAGTCCTTTTATAGTCTCTGGAATGTATCAAAATGCACCAAAAAGTAAAAATCAGAGATATGATTTCCATCTAAGCTTATTATCTATATCGCTTGTTCATGATTTATTTACACCAATTTGTCATTGTTTCATTTAAACCCCTAATTACTGGTGCAAATACTCTAAAATGTTTTGAATTTACTTTAGTAAAGTTGATCTATTACATTTTCTGTGATTTGCATGACGTCATAAATATGATGACGTCATTAACGTAAAAATTGTTCACGGCATCAAAAATTGAAACATTTCATTTCAAAAGGTCATGCAACATTTCAAAGGTCTCATCGAAATCAGTCGAATGGTGGCATTCTCGATGATCTATGATCTTCAGGCAAAAATTAAACTCATTGATTTGGTTTTCTAGCTGGTTAGTGTCTACCATTTAAAATAAAATCTTCCAGTTTTATTTAGCCCATTTAATTTTAGGAGAAATGGCAAACTTTCGGCTCTTCATTTTTCGAACTAACGACAAGTTTATGTATGACATTTTCTCAAATGAAATTTTCTCCCAAGTAGTAATCGGGTGAAATGTCAACATTGAATATTCAAGTGGCTGAACACGTTCCTTTTGTATATCCAGTTCTACTATGCTGCATTTTTGTGAAGGTCTCTAACGTGTGTCCAAGCTTGAATCTAATCGATTAAAGGTCAGTTGAATTCTTTTTTTTCAGCTTTGCTGCATATGCCACACAACTTGCTACATTACAGGCCTTGCGCAAATTAACACTATCTTCTGACTTATCATTCTTGAGAGTTGTTAAGAAAAAAACAGTTGTAGTTTCACTTGAAACTTCATTGCTAATTTTTGAGGATTCTTCTCATGTTGATATGCGCAAGGCCTGCAGTGTGAAGCTAGACCTTACATTAAGATTTGAAGGAGTGTCTGATCTAAATCTTAAAGCAAACTAAGCTATATGAGTTTCTGCATCGTATGTTACATCCACAAAAGATGATCTCCATAGTAGCAGCAGGGATGGCTTCACTGTCATTAGAATTGGCTTTAACCGATCTTCAGAAAGCTCCCATCCGAAATCTGTAGGTGAGGGTAAGTCTTGATGCGGTGATCCAGCTTGTTTCCATATCATTGCTTGGAAGTGTGCTCTTCTTATGTGAAGATGTGCCACATCACTTGTTGGAGGCAATGCCTCGGGTTTTGTTTTCTTGAAAAATAGAACGTGTCGTGCTTCATTTGTGGCCTGCACCAAAACCGTGGCAAAAAAAAATTCTGCTTTCCGCATAATACCTCCTTCGTTAATACCTCCTTCTCCCATGTTTTGCAAGAGTTCATGCGACTTTTTAAAAACTTTCCATGCAGATGCCTTTGTACTCCCAGACAAGTACGAAGTTGTATAACATCCAATAAGAGTGTGAAAGGGGATGAGTGAAAGGGAAGGAATGAACAGATCCCGCTGGCAAGGCGTGAAGAATCTCTTTGCCTGGAATATATATTTCCTCTTCTTTGACGTTCCAGACATCATCCAAAGATCATTGCATCGCATTCGTTCACAGTGGGGCACCAGAATGATGAGCAAATCTGCATCTCTATAGTAGCAACTACTACTGTATTGCAGGTGACATTGATAGCACAAAGGGCAAGGTATCAGTGTAGTATTTCGATGACTGGGCAAGCAATTCATTGATAAATCCACCAGCTGTAACAATTTCTTTATCTTCAGTTGCTTGGCGAAGCAACTCTTCTGACAGGAATCGTGCAAGATCTGCTTTGTTTTCTGGCAATGCAAAGAAGTTTGACCAGAACTTTGGAAGAGATACCAAACCGCTCTCTTTAACTCGGCGGACAGGCCGGCTAGTTTTTTCCGCCTTAGTCTGGTACTAGTTTTGATTGATAGTTGTCTATAGCGGTTAAAAACAACGTCGATTCTCTGGTAGCGTTTACCCATTTGAAGCACTGCTAAATCTCTGGTAGCATTTACCCATTTGAAACAAATGTGTCTGCTAAATCACGAAACGGAGAGCAGCCATTTGGTTTGCCTAATAACACCACTAGAGCCTGACCATCGATGATTAAGCACGCTGTTATTCCATGAAGATCGATACTCTCTGGACAATTGATGCTATCCGTTAGCTTGTCAATAAGGACAGACTTGCTTCCAGTCCGAAGAGAACAGTTCATTTCAGTGAGAGACGAGGAACTGACATCAATTCATGAGAAAGCACACTCTTAAGATCAACTTCACGTCTGCCTTCATAAGCAGTGATCAGCTGCATTAGGATATTTCGATCGGCCTTGAAAATCGTCTGCTTCTCCTTGTAGTTTGAATTTATTGGAACTTCATATAGGCTTTGAAGGGAAGCGCTCTGCATCTTTTTAATGGTTCGTTGAAGGATATCATGGGCTCTGTGTCAGACGGTGTCAGTCTGTGCGTGACAAAGCTTAAAATTTGTTGCTGACCAAGATCGGCTGCATGCAACAAAGATTCTTGAAATTCTTTACTTTTTCTTTATTTGCTATATTCTACCACTTGCCAGAACTTTATGCGGTTCGGAGGGTCCCTTGGTTATACCTTGAAGTTTTCTGACCGGCAGCCATTTTGAATATGCAAATTAAGCCTTTAAATTAGCGAATTTCGCTTGGGATCCGCCAAATTCGTAATCAGCATGGTCGAAATACCCAAAATAAACTGGATCCCAGCTTCTACCCGAAAATGCCTCTTGATCCCTTTTTAAGAACTATTTTAGAGAAATGGAACCAGTCTAATTCTCATTTTTCAAGTTTTCCATTTCTTCTTTGAGAAGATGTTGACTTTGTGTTAAATCTTCATTTTCCTTTTTTAGAAAGGCTTTCTCCTCTCCCCATTGTTTCTTGATCACCTGATACAAGGATATAAATATTATTCAAGTATAAAAATTCTTGTTAATTTCAATTACTTTTGTACAATAATCTTCAGACGAGTTCAGACTTTCTTACTTATACATATCTTCAAAGCAAAAAATGAGCCATTTTTATGTTTTTCTGATGTTATAGTGTTAAAGAACAGCAATGTACCTTGAGAATATTCATCATATTCTGCATAGTCAAAGAGGTTTGACAACCGTCTTTGTCGGCCAAGGTGCCAAAGTTCTCTTGAAGAAATACCGCAAAGATCTGTTTCGCACACAACTTCTGCATTGCAAGCATGGATTTCTCTCGCTCATTCTCCAGCTCTCTTGTTAGTAGAAACAACTAGAATCGAACAAAAGTTTACGAGCAAATGAGAAGCAATTTAAGAAAGGGTTGTTTTCTTTACTCAAAGATATATTTTGTGGTTCTTTGACATCAACTTCAGATTAAATCAACAGTACAAGCAAATTATAAATTTTGGACAAGGTTCGACATTACTTTTCCAGTTTATGTAATAACTGTTTTTGGAAAGTATGAAATGTGCAAACCTTGAATGGATAGTCCTTCTCTGTTTCTTTCTTGATCTTTTCAATTAAAGCGTGGTTGATGCAGCGAAGGTTTTCTTTGTCCTTCTCAACCGAGCTCAACTTTTCTCCCATCGAATTCATCTCCAACCTGATTTTAGACAACTCGCCTTTCACCTCCACGAATGCGTTTTTCTGCTTTCTTCTACCTGCGTTCGCCATCACAGAATTTCTTTGAAGCCAGCAATAGAAAATCGCAAAGTATCACAGTATCAAGTTAACCCTGATATACTCAGAACGGCACTTGAATTAAGTGTAAAGTAATTCAGAACGATGCCTCTTTTATAGCGCTAGAGTTGCGAGATTGTGACGTAGTTTGATTAAAAGTTGTACGAAGATTGTTACGTCACAATCAACTTTAAATCGAGGTTCATTTTAAGGTTGAGGTAAGCAATGGCATATGGAATGATCATATTCACAGACAATAACATTGTTTATTCGTATTGGTACTGCTCTGTGTACGTTTATAATATAGTCATCATTGCATTGCATAGCTGATATATGTATGCAATAGTTGATGACTAGTAGACTATGTATGCAGTAGTTGATTATTAGTAGACGTGTTGAGCAACTAGTTCCTTTTTGAGAAATAAATCGAGACGTTTAACAAGGCAGAGGGAGGGATGTACTTTATACAAGTGTTTGAAGTCTTCATAAATAAACTAACTTGCGTGATGCACAATAAAATAGAATATAACTAGGAATTTAAGAAAAAGTTTACAAGGAAAATTTTTTACTAATTTTTAATAATTGCAAATCTGTACTTATGTTACTAATATAAACTGATTGCATACAGAGTTAAATCACTCATCCTCTGAACAACTATTGAGCCTAAAGAATTCTAAGTGACAAGAGTATGCTGTAAAAAAATTTGATTAAAACGATTATAGGAAAACATGAGGGGCAAATCCGAAATCAAACAATTCATATATGTTTCGAGGAAGGGTCTGACTAGTCTGACCGAGGACTAAAACGTCTTTATCATCTCAGTATAAAAAAAGGAGTTTGACTTTTTGATCTTCCAACAGGGTTATCTGGCATGCTCCGACGGGAA